AAAGAACCTCATATCTTTTGGAGTTGAGACATCATAAAAACTTATAAATTCATCCTAAATAGACATGTGAGTTTAGAATTACCAGTCACATTCCATTCCGTAACCTTTCTTCAACAAAACCTCTGGAGCAATGTAATCTGGTGTTCCAACTGTTGAATAAGCCTGGAATTCCAATATACTATAATGTAAAAGAATAAATCCTATGCACCAAAACAATCAACTAGACTTTTTTTCTTTTTTTTTTTCATGAAATAAATAAGGCTAAATATAAAATTGGTCCCTATCTTTCAGGAAATTTCAATGTAGTCCATAATCTTTTATGATTTTTATTCTTAATATATTTTACATTTTCAATTAGATGTAAAGTTTCAATGTGTTTAAAGTTGGTATACGTGTTTAGACAAATAAGCATGCCCTTAGACATACTACTTGAAAGAAACAAATTTTGTTGATATATTGGATGGATTAGGTTTCATGTGTTTTGTTAGAAAATTTTAATAATGTTTTTATGGAATGATCTAGTTGAGATTTTTTAATACACAATTAGTAGAATTAATACTTGTAAAAAATAATCTAAACCAAGAAAATGAAGTTTTGTAACAAGAAATTTCCTAAAACCCCAATAGCAGCACTAGAATAAGCGAACAGTCAACCATGAAATAAATCTCTTCATAACTATAAGTTCACTTCAACATATGCCATCTAGAAGAAAAATAAGAGAAGCAAAACTTCGGTAAGAAGGAAACGTACAAGCATTCTGCGATTCTTCTGCCAATGTTGTAGTTGCTCTTGTTGAGTACGTGTAGGAGCTGCATTGCGCTCATCACTTTGTGCAGTTCCATTGCGGGCACTCCCTATATTGAAATCTTGTTCTTGGAGTGTACTGCAATCTAATGGCTTGCATAGTCCAAAGTCTGAGAGTCTCAAGTGCCCAAATTTATCAAGCAGCAAGTTGTCAGGCTTGATATCTCTGTGAGACAGAACAACAGAATTAGCTTATCATTACAATTGAAAGGAATAATTCATGATAAGTATCCAAGGGACACAAAAATCTGCTGACCTATGAATGTAATTGTGCTTATGAATAGACTCAATAGCCAAAACTATCTCTCCAACGTAAAACCTGGCTTCATCATCAGTCAATGTATCCTTTCTCATCAATAAAGTCATCATATCTCCCCCAGGTAGGTACTCCATAATAAGGTAGAGAAACTCATCATCTTGAAAAGAACAATAGAGTTTCACGATGCAATTGCTGTCTACTTCAGCAAGAAGATTTCTTTCAGCTCTCACATGCTCCACCTGAAAGATCTCCAAAATGCCCTTAAGAATGCAGAATAATAAGTTCTGGGATACAAGATAGCACACGCCACCACAAATTACCTGGCCCCTTCGAAGCATCTCGGATTTTTTAAGCTTTTTCATAGCATATACCTGACCTGTTGTCTTCTCTCTACAAATACGAACCTACAAAGATCAGGAATATACTTGAGAAGTTACCCCCAAAATTGTAACTACATAAACAAATTTGGTTTAAAATTGGGTTTGGTACATGAACAAGGGTCTGGGCTCGTTCATGTACACTTGAATTAATCTCACAAAATAACCAGTCTGACCCTACAATATAAGTGTCAAGAATCCAGTAGTGCATTCTACATGACCTGAATGTGATAGGCTCAAGTTATTTGTTAAAATTTGACTTTATTATACTTTTTTTTCTTCTAGTTATTCAACAATGTTGTTACATTTGGAAACAAAGACCTACCTATGAATTTGGTTTAATCTAGCTAATTGGAGGATTATGAGTATGTTCCCAAATGTGGTCATGTAGAAAAGAAAATTCATACGTAAAAAAAGAAAAAAGGTGAAACATACCTCCCCAAAAGCACCTTTGCCAATGATTGTTAGTAAATCAAAATCATCGACACCCATTTTGTGCCTTTGGAGGCGCATGTATTCTGTTTCCTTCTTCTCCAAAAATTTAAATAAATTGTTTTGATCTTCTTCAGAAACATCAGCATCAGCCAGCTTCTTTTCCAATATATTGCGTCTGCATACATAAAAATTATTTATAAAATCTTACATCCACTCGAAACTTACTCAAATAAGAATTGACTTGGTAGTTTCACATGTTTGTTAAAAGTTAGGGGTAGAAAGTACAATAACAACCATTGTCATTAGTTATGTTCAAATTGTATACTTCATATTAATATCAATGATAAAGAACAATGGACGATTGATAATTTCAGAAAATTACTAGATAATTCAAGAGTAGGCAAGCTTTTCTTCAAGTTAGCAAAAGAGTTTCTCTATTGAAGTCCAGAGGGAGACAGTAAGCATATCTGAATGATTCAATTATATATATGAACAGAGAATACTTTGGTTGTGTTTTATATTAAAAAAAAAAAAAAAAAGGGTAGAAATGCAGGAGCATTGTTCTTCCTCTCCTGCCGTCATTATAGTTTAAAATGTTGGCACAATCTTCCTAAAACATTCAACCTACACTGGAATTTCAACTCCAGAGCACATAATAATTTCGATCAAATGCTAGTTGGGGAGAAGGAAGGCCAACATATTGCAGATTTCCAGGAAAGAAAACTCAAAATGGGCTGATGTTTTCTATCTAGTTCTAACTAAATACATTATGTTTTCCAGTGCAGCCTTTCATGTATGTTTTCTAATTACATTCACACTATAATGAATTAAGACCAGGGCGTCCTGTTGCAAACTCCATTGTTGGGGGGTACCCTGTTTTTACTAATGAAAGGTTTCCATTCCCGAAAGAAAAAGATCCAATAATTGTTTTGAGAAAGTAGCCATGAAATCTATAGGAGCAGTTGTTGTTGCATGTGTTGAGGATTATTGGGAGGGAGTGAGTCGCACATTGGTTAATTTAGTGGAAGATCATGGATTTATAAGTGAGGAATACTATCTCCATTGGTATGAGGCCTTTTGGGGGAGCCCAAAGGAAAGCCATGAGAGCTTATGCTCATAGTGGACAATATCATACTATTGTGGAGAGTCGTGATTCCTAACAGCATGTTCTCTAAAAATGTCTTTACAAACTAATAATTTTGGCCGGATATACTGGTGTGACAACAATCTATTTGTAGCCAAAAGAAAAAAAAAGCAAGAACTCTAATTAAACATTTTTGTGATCGAATGCATAAGCATTGCCTCACAAGATTCATATAACCAAACAGTTTGGCTGCACATTCTTACTTCACAGTTGTATTGTATTAATTTCCAAATAAAAAAACAGGGTAAGCAATCATATGTATACCTTTCCCTTCTCTCCTGCAGATTCCTCCTTTGCTCCTTGTAATGATTCTCGATGTACTGCTTTGCCGCAGCAACCTTCTGCTTAGTGATATTAGAAAGCTCTTCGTCATCCACCGGTTCAGTAGATTCCTCATTCCCTCCAGCACTATTTTCCCTCCTCTTCGAAGAACCCCTCAACCTATCTCTTGGCTGAAGCTTATTAAACCAACTCCTCGCCGAATCCATTTCTCAAACAGGAATCTCAAGAACAGAACCATAAACCATCCCTAGACCAGAAACAAATTCCCCAATCCAAAACAACAAAAGAAAAAAGAAAAAAGAAAAAAAAGAAAAAAAAAAAAACAAATCGAATTATCCTATATCCAAAATCCCACCACCACAAATTCGAAACGACCACAAACAAACAATCAATCGCGTCAGAATAGAATCAAAATCAATAACAAAAAGGAGTCGAAGAAATGGAAGTGATAGGGCTTTCAAGAAAGAGGGAAAAAGGGCTGAGAATCCGGATGACCGTGGAACTAAAATAGAGTGAAATTGTAACACGAAGGAGAGATATGATCCAGAAACGGAAGTGAGAGAGAGAGACAAAGAACGATTCCAGCATTTTTCGTTGTGGCCTTCAATGAAGAAATTCCATAGAGTTCGTCCGAAATGGTCTCTCTTCCGTGATTCGAATTACCACTCATTTCCATTTCTTCTTCCCGGTTCTGAGCTCTTCCATGGAATAACAGAATTGGAGTTTGGTTGTAGACGACGACAATATATTCCAAAGCTCGTTTCAATATATATATATTAAACAATTATTTGATGCGCTCCCGCTCAAAATCGTTTTTTCAGTTACTTAATTAATTTATTTATTTATTTATTTTAAAACTTCTCTAAACCGTCATCTCAACTGAAATATCACTGTATTATTTATGTTATTAATTCTTTTTTTTTTAATTATTAATAAATATGTTTAAAATATTATTACGAGATTTTATTTTTTTTTATGGTACGATGAAAAATATTAATTTATTTTACACGAATTCCATCACATGACATCTTACTCGAAAATATATATTTTTATATAAGCTTACTTGTTTATGATGAAAGTCCCACGTCCGCTAATTTAGGAAATGATCAAGAAATACTCTCTCGATACGAAGCCTTTCGGGAAAACCCAAAGCAAAGCTACGAGAGCTTATGCTCAAAGTGGACAATATCATACCATTGTGGAGAGTCGTGTTTGTCTAACATGGTATCAGAGTCATGCCAATAGATTGGTAAATCCTCGTGTTCGTCTAACAGTTTTTACTCATAAATCTATAAAATATGAAAATATACCATTGTGGAGAGTCGTGTTCGTCTCTAAATCTATAAAATATGAAAAATATGAAAATACTAATTTTAATATAATATTGATGAGTAACATATTCATTAAACAGGTGATCATTGATTATTTAATTTTATATTATTTTTTTTATTAAATTTATAATTTGATATTTTTTTAGAGTCGAATTATATATATAATTAGTTCAACTATATTTAAGTTAAAATAAAAAAATGTTATTATTTGTAATTAAAATAATTAAAGACTTTTGTAAATAATTTATATTATTTAAAATAAATGATTTTATTTTTTGAAAAAAATTAAAAAATTAAAAAATAAACATTTTACATAAAAAAAATTTATATTTTGGATGTAGAGCGAAACATGAACAATCGAGTGAATTTCAAACACGATTCTTGCTGGCATGAATTGAGGAGAGACCAATGCATGAATTTATTTCCTTTTTTGAGGTTAGAAAGATCAAGAATTTTGTCATTTGTCGTATAAATTTGGCGACTGATGAACACTGTTCGTGTAGTTCATCAAATGGGGAAGATCAGAACCCAACTCCAGCTCTCTCTTCAAGCGCTGAATTCTGTATGTTTCCTCAAATCTTCGACCTCTAATCCTAAACCTAAACGCATTTTCCAGTTCCAGCGATTCTTCAGCGCGGATTCGGATTCCTCTCCTTCGAAGACCATTTCCGTCTTCTCCACTATTACTTTACCGTCGAGTTCCGGCGGCGGCGATGATTCTAGCAATTCCACTTCGTCTCGGAAACCGATCAATCTCTGGCCGGGAATGCACCATTCCCCGGTCACCACCGCTTTGTGGGAAGCTAGGTTGAGTATCTTCGAGAGGCTGCTCGATCCTCCTAAAGATGCACCTCCGCAGAGCGAACTGCTCACGAAAACGCCGTCGCAGAGTCGGACTATTGTGGTTTATAATTTCTCTTCTGATTTCATTCTGAGAGAGCAGTATCGAGATCCGTGGAATGAGGTTAGAATCGGAAAGCTGCTTGAAGATCTCGATGCCTTGGCTGGTACCATCTCCGTTAGAGTATGTCGATTTCTTCGTTGTTCTTGATTTCTATTCCGCTGTTCTTATCACTTTTGATTGATCTGCATATCCTGAAATTGATAATGAATATGTGATGGTTCTCTGAACTCAACGACTTATTGAATGCGATTTTCTTTTAGCTTGGAACTTTTCAAGCTTTCATCCGTTGAGAATTTTCACATTTCATAGAAAATCAAGGAGAGAAATCATTTTCAGCAAGGAAATTAGGTGAAAAGCTTTTAAGCGGCTTTGATTGATATGTATGAGTGAGGTAGAAAATGAATTGGTAATTGATAAAGGGTTTGTGCACTATGAATCTATGAAATTCTCTTACCACTGAAGAATTTATTGATCCTGGTTTGGTCTATGACAGCACTGTTCTGATGTTGATAGCACAACAAGACCACTTTTGCTAGTGACTGCCTCTGTGGACAGGATTGTTTTGAAGAAGCCGATTAGTGTGGCTGCTGATTTGAAAATAGTTGGTTCAGTCATATGGGTTGGGCGATCATCAATTGAGGTTCAGTTAGACATGATTCAATCATCAGAAGGTACGGATTATGAACTATGGTAATAGTAGTCCTGAAATGTCTCTCTCTCTCTCTATGATTAACTTTTAGCAATGATCTTCAAATTTTCACTTGCTTCATTGGGGTCACTCTGCCTTAATTTGGCCGTATCTGAGAATAATTTACTGTAAACTTTAAGAAAGATCTTCAAATTTTCAAGAGTTGGTTGGAGGGTAGAACAAAACCTCTTGTAATAGTGTTGAAACCTCTTCTCAAAAGACACGTTTTAAAACCGTGAGACTGCTACATTAAGGGTCAAAGCGGACAATATCTACTAGCAGTGGGTTTGGGGACCCTGGGCCTCCAAAGGGGTGGATTGTAAAGTTCCACATCGGTTGGAGAGAGGAACAAAACATTCCGTATAAGAGTGTGGAATCCTCTCTTTACATAGTCCGCTTTAGGGATTGGTGACTTACCCATTCAGTGACTTTGGCACTGGACGTTCCAAAAATGGGGTACTGTCGGGTCGAGTGAATTCAATAATAGACGCCTGTTGGCATTCCAGCTTTCCTTTTCCTTTCAGAGCCTACCCGAAAGAGAATCCTGTGTTTCTTGGTCGTGAATATCTGAATAGGACAAACCGCCTCATGGTTTTTGAGGGTGGATTGTGAGGTCCCACGTCGGTTAAAGAGAGGAACGAAGCATTCCTTATAAGAGTGTGAAATCCTCTCTTTGGTAGATGCGTTTTAAAATCTTACGGAGAAACCCGAAAGGAAAAGTCCAAAGAAGATAATATCAGCTAGCGGTAGGCTTGGGCTGTTACAAATAGTATCAGAGCCCGACATCAAGTTGTGTGCTAGTAAGAACGTTTGCTCCCCGAGGGGGTGGATTGTGAGATCCCACGTTGATTGGAGAGGGGAATGAAGAATTCATTAAGAGTGTTGAAACTTGGTTGGAGAGGGAAACGAAAAAATTCCTTTATAAGGGTGTAGAAACTTCCTCTTAGCTTATAAAACCGTGAGACTAACAACGATACGTAATGGGTCAAAGTTCTACCTCCTTAGCAGACGCGTTATAGTTTCAGCAAACTCCGTATTTCTTTCCTTAATCTAACCTTTTTGGTTCTTCTGCAGATTGCTCAAACACATCAGACTCAGCTCTGACAGCAAACTTCATATTCGTGGCTCGCGACTCTAAGACTGGGAAAGCAGCTTTGGTTAACAGGCTTTTACCAGAAACTGAGGAAGAAAAACTACTTTTTGAGGGAGCAGAAGCCAGAAGTAAGCTAAGGAAAAAGAAGAACATAGGTGATATGCAGGGATCAGAAAATGGGTATACAAATAGACTCAACGCTTTTCTAGCAGAGGGAAGAATCTTGTGTGACATGCCAGCCTTAGCAGACAGAGACAGCATTCTTCTCAGGGACACTCGCCTTGAAAACTCTTTGATCTGTCAACCACAACAAAGAAACATACATGGTCGGATTTTTGGAGGGTTTCTGATGCAACGAGCACTTGAATTGGCCTTCTCAACAGCATATGTCTTTGCTGGATTGGTGCCTTGCTTTCTAGAAGTTGATCATGTTGAATTCTTAAAGCCTGTGAGTTAGTGGCCATCTCTTCAACGAGCATTTCAATTGGCCTTCTCAATACCATAAATGTTGGTTGTTTCAATGTGCAGGTAGATGTGGGTGACTTCGTACGTTTCACATCATGCATTCTTTACACAGAACTTGACAACCCAGATCAGCCATTGATCAATGTTGAAGTTGTTGCCCATGTTACTAGGCCTGAAATAAGGTGTAGCGAGGTAAAGAACTTAAACCCCTATGAATCTATCAATTGCAGCATTGTCTAGAAACTTGTTGAGTTGTTTAATAATCCAATATGACAGGTTTCGAACACGTTCTACTTCACTTTTACTGTGCGTCCAGAGGCTAAAGCGAACAGAAACGGGTTCAGAATTCGCAGCGTTGTTCCTGCAACAGAAGAAGAAGCTCGACGAATCATCGAGCGCATGGATGCTGAAAAGCAGCTAAGGGAATTGATTAAGCAATCTGAATCAGATCAGGCTTAGGCAGACAACAAAGTTTAGCATAGTTTAAGAACATCTGGTAGTATCATTATTCTGAAACTGGGGCAAGTTAAATTCATTCTAGAATCTCAACCCTCCTCCTTACGAAGAAATGAGGGTAACATTTTTCAATTTGATATTAGAAACCAAGATCAATATTAAAATTACATTGTCTGCAAACTTCCAATCCTCTTGTTGACTTCTATATAAGGCAAACTATAAGAAACATAATGCATTACAGATTCATATATATCTCAACAGAGATATTATAGTATGCATTATGTTTTCAAAGGACTGAAAATTAAGCATTTGGATATTGCCAATTGGAATCAGTGAACTCGAAAATCTTGCCTCCTGGCTCATATGAGGGTAAGCTGACATATTTGGGACATGAGATTTTCGAAGAAACGATTGCATTCTGTGAGTCGGTCGGAACACAGTCGCGAGGCTGCAATAAAGCAAAAGGATCATTTGAGTTATCCAACATATATCCCATGAAGTTCGGAAGATCAGGCTTTATGTAAAAGTATAATCATATATGTCGAGTGTTCTTTGTAAAAGTGGCTTAAACCTACCCGAAAAGGATAATTAGAACAAGAAGCATCAACATAAGGAATTGTCCAAAATTTAATCCTATCCAAGAGGTGCATCAACTTTGAAGTTTCCTTTCGTTTCTTTCGGTTAAGAAATTCAATTTCAAACCGAATCAGCAAAAATTAAGAAGGAAAAAAAAACCTTGAAATCCTTGTAGAAACATAAGCGAAGTTCCTCCACTGCACCCTTTGAGCAGACCAACAAAGGGGTGGCATGAAAAGCATTCTCAACTGCTGAAATGATTCCTCCCAGAGGATATTTCTCAGTATTTGAAGGTACATATCCAGCGTCATTCAGAACTTTCTGGGACATGAGATGTTCATTAGTAACCAAACTGATTCCAAGGCAAATGAATAGCTAATAAAGCTTTTAAATATACACACCCATATACTATATGGAGTAACCTAAATATTAAGAACTGGGAACTCTAAAATTCCTTGAAATGGTTCAGATCTCTCTTTTATATCAGATTTGAAGGTATGAAAGATTTATTAGTTAGACCATACGAGTAAAATTGCGAACTTCAAAAACAAGTTTGTCCGCAAAAAATCAAATGCTCCATCAGGATTTCTGGACTGGTGTAAAGAATTAACCACTTATAGGCCAGCTACTGCAATGAAATAGAAATTTAATTATTTCAATTTCCATAGATGGATCTCAGTAGTTAAATACATTGCTTTTATTTTTTATTTTTAGTTCCACAATTGTAGGAGTGGGAGATCAAATCATTGACCTTTAGAATAGTAAAAGGCAGTATTATCCACTAACCTATGCTGCTTTGCTAAAATGTATTCTACAACCCCAAAATTTAAGTTTTATAAAACCCTATTTGTCAAGAAAATCCTCAAAACTTATCTGGTTATTCTCAATCCATTAAATTATTCTCTACAATCTACCTAGCCATTAACCATTAAATAGCATCTACCACAGCTTAAACAATCTAGAAAACTTAAGTTGTATAAAGCCGCCTGAAAAATATGAAACTAATCTGCAAAGGAAATAGGAAAGTCATTAGTAACATTTATCGATTAAGGAAAACAAAATCAACAGTAGCAAATCAATATGGAACTAAACTGCAAGCTATATTATTTTCTGCAAGCAGCTTAGTCTGATCTATTGACTTTAGGGCTAATAGAGAAGTGTAACATCAGTTGTAAACTTACTGTGACATTGTATTTGAAATAGACGTTGAGAGTAGTTAAAAAGTAACCATATTCATCACGAGCTACTGGAGAAGAACAAGTTCCATGCTTCTCTGCATGTAACAAAAATTTAATATGAAAAACCAAAGCATGGGAACTGGGAAGGACATTAATATGCTTTGCTTCCAATATGGACATCAAAGCAGTAACATCAACAAAGTTGATACGTTGTCACATTCAATAAAGGACAAACTATACGTAAATAATGAAGGTCACCATCAAATTTGACTAGCATCGGCACAAGGTATATGATAAAAAGAAAAATACATCTTTGTATAGGAAATCATTATGCAATGCATTGAACACATGACCTAGATGTGAAAGTCTTTAAAAGTGAAGATATTTGTCAAATATCATGACAAATTAACATTTTAGAGTAGAGAGAGTGCAAAAGAGAAACCTAGAAATCTATCCTTTGCCAATCAGAAAAATTCAATGTAAGAAATAAAGCCCATGACCAATGTATTCCAGAATATAAATTATAGTATCCAAGTGAGAGAAGCCAAGGATCATTACCCCACTACCAAATGCAGAAGCCAATTCAGCCATCATAGGAGCAAAAAGAGAAGGGGGAAAAAATCATCAGCTAAAACTTGGGTATAATCAGTCAAATTAAAACAAAACATATGTTGTACTAGCAACGGTCACCTCATGAGCCCAAAATGATCCCTTTGCACCATGGCAAGTTTTCGGTGAACTACAACTCAAAGATGACCAATATTTCTTCATGGGTTCAAGTAAGGTATGAATCTGGAAGATCAAATGACGCAGGATGTTAAAAGGATGACTTAAACAGAACAATGTATCAATTGCAAGAGCAAAGCAAATGATACAACGATCAAAGTAAAACCAACAGTAACATATGAAAATCAGGCTGAAAGTGCTCTGTTTTAGCTCTTCAACTTCCAGTAATGCTTTCCATCCCAGTTATTATTGGTTCAATCTTTTGAGGATTACAAGGTTTGGAACAAAACCAAAATCCTAGCATAGTTACAGCTATTCGATCATTTGAAAGAAGGGAACTTCTCTAGATCCTAATTGAACCTCCTTATCCATTTTTTGCACTGATTATATACCTTTTTATTAAGAGGATATTTTGCCGTGATAATTAGTTAGAATATATCTTAGATATTTTGGGAGTTGTTAGTATAGATTTGATTAACCGTATATTTTATTTATTTACCAGATTTAATTAGATATATAATTTTTCTATTTTTAGGTATTAGTTGATAGTTTGTATCCTATTTAAACGTGGTAAACCTGAATGAAGATCATACTTTCGATCCCAATTCTATTTCTATTTCTCATTCTTAACACTTTTTGATACCAATAGTTTGTATCCTAAGGGAACTCTAGATCATTTAATGAATATCAACAGCCTAATTTTAATAAAAACGTACCTCCTTCTCTAGATCCTAAGGGAACTTTGGATCATTTCATTAATATCAACAACCTAATTTTAATAAAAACGTACCTCCTTCTCATCAAATTCTTTTCCAGTGCAACATGAAGGCCAAGTTCCATCATTATAATCAGGCCACAAACCATCTATTAAGAGGAAGAAGTTATAAATTCAATGCACAATCAAACAAAAGTGACCCCTTATTCTATAAACAAAAAGATCCTCAAACAAAGGAACGGTCTCCTATGTTTATTTTTAGGGAACTGACTAAAAAAAAGGGACCCTAATTGATATTTCCAGTAAAAATAATAAATAATAAAAATGAACAGGTACCGAAGAGAAATGGAACATGTGAAGTACAGATAAACAGTTCAGTAACCCTACATGTATTGAACACTCCAACTCTTCTATATTTTATGATGGCTAGTTAACAAATTAGATGTGTTATACACTTGATGAACAAATTAGATACATGCAATACTAGCGTCGAATCTTTTACTTATTCAATTTTGTTTGAAAAAATCAATCAACATAAAAATAAATATAGAGCAAAATAATAAACTTCTAAGCATATTGCATCAAACTATTTTTAACTATATTAATGCATGAACCCTAAACCCTAAACCCTAAACCAATTTCAAATTTTTTTTTTTACGAAATATGGAATCATTCACAGAATGTCAATTTGGTTATAGAGTAATCCAAATATCTTGTTGTAAGTTAGTGCATTGCACCATTAGAATGTTGTCTTCAACTTCTCTTGAATTATCTTGTTTCAAAATACCTTTGAAATGTAAAAGTATCAGGGACTGAAAAATATTTTTAATGTGAAAATGATTGAAAAGTATGAAGATATTAAGATAACATATATTTTAAAAATGTACAGTTATAATATCTATATTCTAGTTTTATAGAAAATGATGTATTTCCACGTCTGTGTCATGTTGTCTGTGCTTCATAATTCAGAACTGTGGAACAAATGCAATTGTAGCTTCAACTTACGAATTGTAAACTCAGCGAAACCACCAGATCTAGCAAAGAAGAGATAAATGAATGTAAGTTTTAATGAACAGTGTAAAAGAATATCCACAGAATTCAAAAGAACACTCAACAAAATATTGGAATACGACATATAGGCAAAACTTTCACAACCAAAACTCTAAATTTTGTGTTCTATCAATGGTCTCCAATAACCTTTTCACATTTAATTTTTGGGGTCGTGACCATTGTAATTCATTCAATGCCAAAATACCCAATTGCCTAATTGCAATATTATAGCTTAATCCCACCCCCCTCTCTAAATGCAGGTTTTATCTTTCAAACAAACCCAAGTTACGCCAGATTCTGAAAGGAGTTTAAACCAATTCAGAATAAGGACAATAAAAAAAACTTCAAGTTTTTCATTTATTGTTTATTACAAGGTATCACAATCTAACTTGTCCAGATGGTTTATCTTAAAGAATTGAAATTGATTGGAAAAATTTGGAAGCATAATTTTTTATTTTGGTATGACCTCTCATATTCGATCTCCTCTTCTCCGTCAATGTTGAACATTCCTGCCCTTCTTTGCAATTGTTTCTTTCTCTTTGACTGCACCAGTGGTGGCAAAGGTACTACTAGACTACTGTACTTGTTCATAAACGGTATCATGCAGATCTTGATGGAAAAAGATGTGAGAATTAGTCCATGTTACTGCTACAACTATGATTCTTTACGGTATTAATGAAGTTCATAGTTCGGCAAAAAAAAAAAAAAAAAAAAAAAAAGCCTTAGCTGCAAGGGATTTATACTGGAAGTTTAACCTAAGTACTATATATAAGCAGTCCAAAATTCTTATAAGACCAAGAAATAATCTCATAAACGCCTTTCTCTTCTTACGGAAAGCGATTCGTAACACTGCTGAAAGCAGGTTCTCGACGGAAATCAGCAAATAGCATGCTTATTTCACTTTGATCCCCTATCAGCGAGCAACATAATATCCAACAATTGAGCCCAAAGAAGGCGGAAGATGCTACAGTTTTTTCACATCAAGCAGCATGGCGAAATGGAAAATTATGAGCTAATAACTACTGCAGTTACTAAGCAGAATCATCAAACGAAAGAAACGATTGATTAAGCAATCTGAAAAAGAGCGAGCCAGAAGCAGTCACCTATTACAGCATGCATTGGAGGAACAACAGTGGCGAGTGCCCTTGCAGATAGTACCAGGCCATTGCAGCGCCAAAACGAAGTAATCAAATTCTCTCTGCTTTCGTCCACCCTGGTTCTGTAAAATTACCGCATCGGAAGCCTCTTTCAAGGAAGTTGATGCAACAGATAGGCTGAATTGAAGAAGAAAGATGAACAGAATCGCCATGGGAATGGCTTGATTTTGGGGATCGCTCCCCATGACAAATAAATGCGTAACGTAATCCAATTGGCAGACTACCGAATTCGATTGGCCTTATCTGGACCTAAAGTATAAATACTTCTGTTTACAAAATTCTATATTATATTAAATAAATAAATTTTTTAAATATTTTTAAACCAAAATATTTCTTTTAAGTTTTAGTTAGATACAAAATTCTCGAATAAGTAATTAATTAAAAAAAATTAAAATTTAGATTGGAATTGGAATATAAATTCCCACCATAATATATATATGTTTTTTATTTTTTATTTATTTATTTTTATTATTATTATTTTGAAAACCAGGCATGTTAGTTGATGACATACGAAATAAATTAAATTAAACTATATCATTTCAATATTTTCTTTAAAATGTGTGATTGAATATAGAAAAATTTTAATGAATAATTTATTTACGATTTAATAATAAAAACAGGTTTGAGTGGGTGGGTGGAGCTTTATTATTCATGTCACGAAATAAACACAACATTCCGCTCATGTGTTTCCAGCTCCCTATTTGGTCAAGTTTCAAAATAGTAAGCTCATCCGTCTTCAATCTGCGATTAAGATCAAGTCACACATAATCATCCTAGTAAAATATTACTTTTCTCAATCAATAAATTTTTATAAGAATTAAGATCAAATCACACACAATCATCCTAATAAAAACATTGCTGTGAGATCCCGGAGAACGATTGGAGAGGGAAACGAGTGCCAGCAAGAACGATTGGAGAGGGAAACGAGTGCCAGCAAGGACACTGGGCCCGAAAGAGGGTATTATTTATAAGAGTGTGAAGACCAAATGCTAATAAACACGTTTTAAAAACTTGAGAGAAACTTTAATAGAAGAACCCAAAAAAGACAATATCTAACTTTTTTTTCACACAATAAAAAAAAAATTTAAAGAGATATTAAACATTTTGTGATAAAGGTGGTCAATGAACGGATGCATCCATCGTAGAGTTGAGGGGAGCCGAATCTGAAACGTATTGACTAGTTTTCCCTCTATTCTTTCGAGATTGCTTTTGTTCGAATTGTACGAAGAGTAGATGAATGAGTTCGATACCGAACCACACATCCAAATTTACACTTCAATTCAAAGGTATCAACATAGAACATGTAACAGTTACAGAGACATGAAAATCAATCCATCCTGAATTCTCATCTATGAAAAACCATTACTTCAGCACTCATGTATGAACCAAAAAGAGTACAACAAAATAAGTACTCAAAACTTCATTTTCTATACATACATACATATATATATATATATATATATATATATATATATATATATATATATATATTCCTGACTGCTTACTTATATTTACACTCTAGGAACCAATTCAATTAGCTCAAAAGATGGCCAGACAAACAAAACAAGAGATCAGAGAGAAGTTCTAGGCTTCTACCTCCGTTCGAAATACCGAACACGAAGAAACGCTACTTCAAACTAAAACTCGAAAGACATCCAGAAAATGAAAAGAAAAGGAAGAAGAGAACATAATGTTACATGTGGAAAATTGAGGAAACCAGTCCTGCAAATCGCTCATATTTATATATCAGACCCATTGTTTGTTATGATACAAAAGTTCATATCCACCATTTTTTTTTTTTTTTTTTTTTTTTTTTTACATTTGCTTCCACATATCTCCCCTAAAACTGGTAAATTCACCCTCATCAGAAGCTTCTCTGCACGGAGAAAGAAAGAACAATGGCTATCATTCACTAAATAGGTTACAGGAAAACCAGAATATGAGAAGACAAAACAATTAAAGCTCAGCTCAGCTCAGCTCAGTTCAGCTAGACTACTATCTCTAACTCATGCATTGTACCAAATGGAACCAACTGAGATGGCTTTAGCTCCCTACATATAAAAGTTGACTGGACAGGATTAGCTTAGCTGCTGCTTCCAGCAGACCCCAAATTCCTTCAGATACTAATTTTTCATGAACATCAGAATGTTATACCCAATTAGTCTTAGCATACTTCAGGCAGTCACAACAGGCATTAAGGAGTTCAAACCGTTACAGACGACGAAACGAAATCAATAAAAAGAAAAGAACGGAAATGCTTCAAAAGAGAACTCGAACTGAGCAAAGTCTTGTCAAGAATCACTAAAATATTGCAGAACACAAAAATGACATTTTTGACATGTACCAATGAAATGTATGCTAACTCTGATTTTGTATTCAACTAATACGCATGCCATATGTTTTCTCTTATTCTTTACTATTTTGTTGCAAGTTTCGTCAATCCTTAAGCCAGCAGACACAATCCAACCCAAGCAAGAAAAGAAAATAATGATGAAAGACAATCACACAATACCTACCCAAGTCACCCAAGATTATGAAAATGAATTATATTTCTAAATTCATAATCAAAGAAAAACTATAAATACGAAACAAAGTTCAAGTCGCAGGCTTTTTAAGCAAGTCTAGAATCCAAGTATATGCATAGATAGATAGATGAAAATATAAAATCATGATGGAGATGATGAAAAAAAAAAAAAAAACCAAGCTCATTTAAAAGATTAAAAGAAAATTTGAGGTCTTAATAAAACTTTTGCATCTCTGAAATACCTTAGAGAAGGTTTTAATTCTAACACCCATTGTTTTCCATTGAACACGTGGTAATGATGGTTAAACCGATACAATATCCAATTGTTCTCGACTCTTTTGAATCAGAAATCCTCAAGGTATTTACTAGTAAACATCCCTCTCACTCATTTTTCCTCTTCCTTTCCTCTAGTTCTGGATCATTTTCTTTGTGGGTCGGAAGGCCATTTACTGGGGGAAAAAATGCAAAAAAGACCGCTAAAACTGAAACCGAACCAAGGAAGCAAAAAGAAAACTAGTCCAGTTTTGAACCAAAACAAGGAAATACTTCGGTTTAATCCATTCGAAGATTTCAAAAACTGGTGCTTGGTTCAGTCAACAGTTCCTTCCAAAATCGGACCAAATAGAACCATGCACACCCCTAGCTGTAGCATCCAAGTTCCAATTCCTACGGAAACTAAATCATGTAAAAACAATTATATGTTTTCCATCACTTCGTTCAAAACTGTCCTTCCTTCCCTCCACCTTCTTCCTTGTCTCTCTGAGCTTGTAAAAGCCTAAAAAAATAGTATTGTTTGTTACTCCTTGGGACCTTTTTCTTCTTTTGCAACGAACTATCTTCCCCTTGTTTGAAACAACCAGACACACTGATGCGCTGCCTTCTTTTTATCCCACAAGCTCATAAATTTCACAACCAAAATTTAAGCTCCAGTACAGTATACTCCACCAAAGAAAAAGCTCACATGCAAACCTAATGTAAAAAGAACTTTTTTCTTCAAACTTAACTAAGGAACGCTAAATAAACTAGAGAAGAACGACTTAATTTCCACAACACAACAGGTAAAAGTACATGGAATCTCTCACACTTTAAAGTTATACTCCTGATGCAGTCAATTATAGTTGAGATGTCTTTTTGTAGACTTTTGGAGTTTCAGTTTCTATTTTACTATTTAAGTTATGTGATGATTGGATGTCAATACTCCTCCGTATACTCCCCCATGGGAGCAACAGTTTATAACGTAACTTTTCAAATATCAATGAAAGATAAAAAAAACCCATTAATGAAAAAGAAATGTAATCATATGAAGAACAATTGAATATAGAATATACTTGAAAGATATAAATATACCTCAAGTATTTTTTGACAACATTAAGTGAAAATTCCAGCAATCTTTCAACAACCATATGAGGAAATAAATGACCTAGATTATTCCACAATGTCAGCCCGCTACCTTTATCACTCCCATTTCTTCAATTTTTGCGGCCTTATGCTGCAGAAATTAAATGCAGAAGGGTTTTAGTTGGAAAACAATCAATCGAAAAATAAAAAAAATATATGGATTACAAAGATAAAAGTTAACCCGGATGATTGTTCTTTGCAGTATGCAAGTAATCTAGAGCTGAAAAGAAAATTTGACTTCATATTACCTTATTTTTTTTGTGCCTATGAATGTCATTAATATCATCTTCTCCATCATGCTTCCTTTTCTGAAAATTAAATGAAGTTAGAAATTAAGAAACAGCTCGTTTGGGCAAGCACAATAAATGTATATTAGTTTGGCAGTAAAACACAAAAAGATTACTTAATCCTTAACTTTTAGTAGAGAAAATATGGCACATATAAATTAACTTTTCAATTCCCTGCCCTCGGGACATGCTGGTGGTTGATAATCAATGTCAAATGATGAAAATTCAGTGGAAGGGATATGCTTCATGAAGTGAGGAACCACAAACAAGAAATTGGTACAAAATAAAAAGTCCATAATGTAAACGTCAATAACAATCTACTCCTGAGCTATTTCATTGTTATCTAATCCTGGTATTTACAAAGGAGCTGGAAAAGAATAAAGATTTTCCGACCTTTTCGTGATGCTTCTTTGAATGGTCAGCACCAGAATCTTGATGTGCACTTTTGTCTTTCTTCTTGTCCTTGTCTTTATCCTTACTCCGGTCTTTATGTCGATGCTTGTGCTTCTTATGCTCTCTATCCTTATCCTTATCCCTATCTTTGTGCTTTTTATGCTTTCTGTCTTTATCTTTGGACTCGCTTTTTGACTTCCCTGGAATAGTAGGAACACCCTTCTCGGCCTAACCAAAGAAAAAGAAATCGACCATCACTTGCAGAGAAAAGAACTAGGACGAGAAATGCTGATAATCAAGCCTAACATCAAAGTTCCAGCTGACGGAAGAAAGCTAAAGAAAGTGGTTCGTTTTAACAATTATAGTTATAGATTTCTTACAGGAGGCAGCTCAACAGGACCAGTTTCCCTCAGTTGGAAGGCTTCTATGAGAATATCTTGGTCAAATGGCTGTATACGAGCATTAGTCTCTCTAGGGTAAGAAGGATTCTGTATGAGTTGATTCAACTGCATCCCTTCCCCTTTTCTAATTTCTGTGTCTCCAACCACGTTATGAAGATAATGTGTGTCTGAAATTGACAATGGAAGTGACTTCTTGCAGAAAAACTCATGATGAGGTAACAGCTTGTAGTGACTTATAAGATCAACAGCACCAGTCAGTTCCCTAGGTCCTAAAGGCACAAATAAAAATACATCAAAAAATTTAGGTGGCAGGTAATCAATAGAGATAGAAAATGAACAAAATGGAACGAAAAACAGATATATCATGTACTGTAACTTTTCACGATATTCTCCACTCAACCAATAGCTTTATTTGAAATTGAAACAGGACCTATGATTTGTCTTTCAGCTACAAAAGTTCAATTGGAAGTAAGAATCAAATCATATCAGGTAGGAATTTTTTCAACCTTTCAATAAGAACTTTTGCAAGGATTTTTTTTGGAACTTGTTGTGAGGCTTATGGGAAATCAATAACTCCCGTGGCATTTGATTCGATGTTTTAGGGGAAATGGCAATGTAGGAAGTTAAATAACTTCCTAAGTTGCTCCTACATTCTCAAAACAAGAAGAGCATAATAATTTGTATGGTAAAGGAAGTCTGGTGGTTCTCATGGGTCAAACTCCATTATGCTATCTCTATTGCAAGGATAAAACGGTAGCCAAAAGTATCAGAGATCTAATATCCCCTCCAAAAAAATCAAACTTTAAGTTTTCCAAATCCAAACATTATAATATGGCCTGATTTGCTTTACATAAAATCTTGTACATAGATAATAAAAGCACCAAAAAATATAGGCAAACCCTTGAGCCTTTACTAAAGGAAAAACCTGTTCCAAAGGCTCAAGTGTTCTAAAATCAACTCTAAATTTGAGCTACAAATTTCCTACTACAATCCCAGATCAAGCAAAACTTTCTTTTCCTGTGTGTTTCAACCCTGAAATCCTAACGCTTCTACATGTCTTAGGAAAATTATATTAGAACGAGATACTCTAGCTCAACTAACCACATCAATGTATAGTCAAACTACGTCAGTACACGAGAGAGAGGAAACTAAATTGAATACATCAGCATTTACCTTGGCCAAACTTCTTATCTTCAGATTCCATGTATCACACTTCCTTGGAACAATGTCACATTATAACTGCAATCATAAAAACCCAAAGGGTAGTGAAATTACATCTCCAAGATAATCAACGTAATTTTCCTCTATCTTATCTAATGATAAAAAAAACAACAAAAACCACTTTTTGGGCTTTCCTAAGTAAGTACTTATCAAACAAGGGAATAAAGCATAGACGTGCATAACTCCATTAGACAAACTCATAGAACAGAAAATATAACGGAGCTACATAGTTACATGTATGATGTGTTATCACTTAATGATTCAGAAAGAGAAAATAAATTTATATAGAACTCGGAGGAGTAATTGAGCTAGAACAATTCTAAGATCAAGAAACCTCCAGCCCAATTCGAACATTTGGTGAGTTTGTCAGCAAATCATGCACATAACCAATACTATACACAAGAAAACTTGAGTCGTACAATCTATCTAACAACCATTAACTAAGAGAACCACTGGTTAAAAATTTAAAAAGAATTGAACTGGGAAGACAAAACAGAAATTAGCCCAATCCTATATTGAGCATGCTAAAACCAGAAACCCATCTAAACTCAAACACAAGAATGAAACAAGCAGGACACAGAATTTCAGAAGAACCCCAATTCCAATCCCTCAAAAAACGCCTTCTCTCAAAATTCTACGAGAACCCAAAAGCCCAGAAACCAAAACAAAATTCAAAGCACCCAATTCAGCTCGAGCAACAAAACCCACAGAACTGGAAGCAAGAAACCCTAAACACACCAATCAAAATCACAGAACTGAAAACCCCGGGGCCGGAAGGGGAAGGCAGTGTCCAAACCCAGAAACAACTCGAAAGGAATCCATTCCAGAAACGGAAAAACGAAAACAAACCTCGGCGGCGAAGGGTGGAAAAGAAGAGCAAAGAGGCGCCGGAAAATGGTAAGAGATGGAGAAAGCGATCGAGAAACAGAGGTTGCGGGAATCGAATCGAAGAATGAGATGAAATTGAGGGGAAAAGGGGGTGGAGAATGGGGTGTGAGGAGAGTGAAGAAGTAGCTCCGGCGGCCGGGAACAGCGGAGAGAGAGAGGGGAAGAGAGGCAATTGAGATCGGGGAAGAGAAGAGAAGAGAAGAGAGGGGGCACTGAATAATACTACGAATAACCCTTTGCCACATTTACAAATGGACCGTACAGTGGACTTTTAATACGTTTGGTCAAGGGTTCCCCTTTCCTTCTGTTCAAATGTCAATTTTTATTTATTTATTTTGTTCATTTTAATTTTTTTTTAATTAGATTATGATTTGTTATTTAATATTTATAAAATATAAGTATTTTAAACTGTCTAGTGATTTAAATAACATTTTTTTTTAATAAAATAAAATTCTTGGGTTCAAGAATTTAAAATCATTTCCATTTTTTTTAAATCTTGGAAATTAAAATACTTTCCCTTTCAAAGTACGTTTAAAAAATTTATATAAAAAAGGTGCGTTTGATAATAATAATAATAATAATAATAATAATAATAATAATAATAATAATAATAATAATAATAATAATAATAATAATAATAATAATAATAATAATAATAATAATAATAATAATAATAATAATAATAATAATAATAATAATAATAATAATAATAATAATAATAATAATAATAATAATAATAATAATAATAATAATAATTAATAATAATAATAATAATAATAATAATAATAATAATAATAATAATAATAATAATAATAATAATAATTAATTAATTAATTAAAAAAAAAACGAAGCAGCTGCGTCAAGTAGCTGCTGTAAAGGGGGATGAGGGGCGGCGGACGCGTAGCTGGAGGTGTGGGATGGATGAGTGGATGATTAGAGGATGTGGAAGCGTATTAGGGCTTGATTAGGCTTTAAAAAGGAAGAAAAACGAAGAATGGTGATTAGCGAAAAACCCAGAAAAACAGAGGAGGAAATTTTTGAGAATTCAAGGTTGCTTAAAATTGGACATCAATCGAGGGTAAAGGAAGAGGGGTTGTTGCTGAGGAATCATTTGAGGAAGGGGATATGGCCACGAGCTGAATCGGACGGTGATTCGAAGGTAACGAAAAACCCATATCACCGAACTTTTAAATCTCGATATCTTGATTCATACTGCATAATAAGTTATGAAATAAGGGTTGTTAGAACCGTAGTTAGAAGATCTATAAAGTTGTAGAAGAAATCAGAACGAAATACGAGCTGTAGAGATGAAATTTTTGCTTTGGGACACAACGGGTATTAAAGGAAAAGATTGGGAAAAATTGCAGGGAGGAGAGGTTGAAGACGAGCGCGTGAAGGACACGCGAGGCGCGTGGGAGGCCGCGAGTGGAAATGCGATTGTGCGCGGATCAGGCGCGTAAGAAACGAACCCCGACCTTGTGTTGGCGCGTGAGGGCGCGTGAGAAGGTATTTTGGCTCCCGGTTTGTCCCGTTCGACTCCTTTTGACCTGTCCTATCAAAATTGGTCTATACTTATGTTGAAATTGATAAAATATAGGTCTAATACGAAGGAATTGTGTTGAAATACTATTAAACACGTACATTCAAGGGGGAAAAGGAGTTCGCAACCAAGTAAGTAGCGTATCGACCTTTGAACTAGTTCTTAACTTGTTTTACAACATGTGAGTATGTTGTTTACCTGATTAAGAGCTTAATATGTTATGATGAGCTTTGATGATATTTAGTGTTTATTGTATATTATGACTGCTTGCCTGTGATATAAGCATGATATAAATGATTGTCAGAATGTTCTATGTGTTGATCATGATACATGTATGAAAGCATGCAGTAACTGTGAGTATGTTATGCATGTTAATGGAAAGGTTATGACTCTAGATATGCTTATTGGTTGTTGAGCTATGGCTTATTTATATAAGTATGATAGTCTACTAATTCCCGCGGAATTCCTGGCCAACGCGCTGTGTGCTAAGTCAGGGAGCATGAGTACTCCTGACCGTTGGTATATGAGATAAACAGGCCGCCAGAGCAATTAGTAGACGGGCCGTATTTGACCGAGAGCGAGTCTTACATACGAGTCCGAAAATTTTAGATAAGCATATCGAAGGAGAGTCAGTAACCTAGCTGGAGGTAGCTGAGATACCTCATTAACGAACAGATGACCCTAGTAAGAGAAATAGGAGTCAGTGGTGAATAAAACGTAAAAACACCTGGAAAGATTAGTTATGAACCCGTGAATGATAAGCTAGCTATCTAATTACTCATCAGAATTATTATAACTTTTCTTTCCAGATGTAGATGATGCAGGCCAGCCGAGGACGAGACCAGCAGGCTAGAGACTATTGGGAATCCATGTCTGGGTCTGTTATGTAATTATGTTTTCGTTGTCAAGAGTTTACCTCAGTCGTTTTAAGTTTTTTTTTAAAAGTACTGTTTTTTTAAATATTTTACGGGATGTTTTTAGAAATATTTTGAATTTTATGATTGGATATCAGAGTCTCTTAATATTGTCAATGGTAACTCCTGTTAATCGCGTTGACGATGAGCGGGTGTTACACTTAACTACTCTACAAAAATATAAATAAAAAAGTATTTATGAGTTAAATACTTTTTAGAGTATTTTTTATCCGATTGTAATTGAGAAAAGTTTGAAAAAGCTTTTAAATAATATAAACTGTAACAACTTTACAAAAATATAAATAAAAAAGTATTTATGAGTTAAATATTTTTAGAGTATTTTTTATTCAATTGGTAATTGAGAAAAGTTTGAAAAAGCCTCTTAAATAATATAAACCAAACATGAAAAGACAATTTTTTTTGCCACGAACACATCTTCGATTCTCTCAGATAAAATGCTTTATAAATCGTCTTTTCAATTTAGATCTCCAAAACTTTAAACTAATAAAATGAAAGCAACAAATAACGTTTAATATTATTAAAAGATAACACTATATATGGAAAAAAAATGGGTCGTAACGACTCTAATTCTTTATTTAAGAATAGGGTCGTCACTATAGGCATGTTATGACTATTAAGTACGGAAAATTATCTAAAACGACATTCTCGATAAATGAATGACGACATCAGCTATGGAAACCAACGAAAAGAAACCTTATTGATTCGCGAGGATAGTCTTCGCTCTTAGAAGTAAGGAATAAGTAAAGTGATTATGTCACAGGGAATGTAGGGGCAATTTACAAAAGTACCCTTAAATAAAAATAAATAAATATTCCTATTCAAATTCCAAATACAAAAGTTCCCAAAGTGATGAAGACTTGAAAAGATGAGTTCAATGTGCATTTATATGTTACATCTTCGGTTGCAAAATAATAATTATACTCAGACAACATATCTGTAAGTTACATATCTTCCTGCAGTCTCACTTGGTCTGATGATCTTCACAACTTGTCCCCGCTTTAGCCCGTAGTATCTCGCAACTGGGTCGGTCACCTGTATGCGCGGTAGCTAACACAAAATATGCAACACCATGTAAGATTCTCGTTCATTTTTCATTTTGTAACAAACATGTGTTAATACCCACAAGGGATGTCTCCATGGTACGAGCTTAGCATGTTCGTTGATACTCTACGAGGTTTTAGGTTCCAACTTTAGAGCTGAGAAAGCTTAATAACTTAAAATCTTGCCTTTTAGGAGGAATCGACATGAACACAACGCACAGAGTAAGACCAGAATACTTCGATTATTGGGCAAAATCAATAAATAAGCATATAGTTTGCAGGACTCGGCATGCTATGTATCTAATGAAATCCAAAACTCAGAAAAAATTACACTAAATAGGAATGATAATGTGAGATCCCACGTCGATTGGGGAGGAGAACGAACTATTCTTTATAAGGGTGTGGAAACCTCTCCCTAGCAGACATTTTAAAAACCTTGAGGGGAAGCCCGAAAGGATAAGCCCAAAGAAGACAATATCTACTAGCGGTGAGCTTGAGACATGACAGATAAATTTGAACATAGTATACAAAGAAAACCGAGTAGTTAATCAATAGTTGAGATAACGTTGTAGAAGTCCGAAGCGGTATCAGGAACGTATGAGCATATCAAATTTCAATATCGATATTTGAGATGCATTCTAACAACGTGACGTTTTATGAAGAATTAATGCTAACCTGTGTTTCTTTCACGGTATATCGTTCCAATAGTGTCTTTTTCTCTTCGTTGGAAAGTAACTGGTGCTCAGGAACAAGAACGTGATCTTTGATATTAACTAGCAATTCTGCTTCCTGCATCAACAAATGAAGAAAGGGAAAAGAAAAAAGTTATATCTAAAGGTAAACTAAGACAGTTGGAGCATGAATGTAGAAACCCCCATATTTTTCATCCTCATATTGCAAAACAAGGAATAAAGGAAGAGAGAATAACATAATTTTTAGTTTTCAGAGTAGGTTCTCCTCAAATTATTGGTAAACGACCTGTCTAATTTACTTCTCCGACCGGTGGTTTGGCATTCTTCCTCCTTTTCGTTTGAGCACCTCGATCATTTGTTGTGGGATTGTCAGTTTGCTTAGTTTCATTGGGATATTGGTTAAAATCCTCTCTTTGGGATTCTGGAGCTCGAGGTAGGGGTGATCGTTCGTCGTTGGATGAGGAGCTTTTCCCTTTTTAGGGAAAGAGGCAAAGTCATGTGGGCTTAACTTCTTTGCTGTTTGTTAAGTGTTCGGTCGGAAAGGTACAATGGAATTTTTAGTGAGATTAAGAGATCGGGTGAGGAGGTGTAAGAGGTTGCTACGCTTAATGCCTCCCTTTGGGCCTCAGTCACTCAGCCATTTTGTAATTATGATCCTGACCTTGTTCTTTTAGATGGGAGTCTTTTTTTTTTTTTTTTTGTAACTTGTTTTGGACTCCTTTTGTGAGATCCCACATCGATTGGAGAGAGGAACGAGGGCTAACGTTCGCCAACAAGAACGTTAGCCCCATAGAGGGTGGATTGTGAGATCCCACATTGATTGGAGAGGGGAACGAAGCATTCTTTATAAAGGTGTGAAAACCTCTCCCTAGCAGACCCGTTTTAAAAACCATGAAGGGAAGTCTGAAAGGAAAAGCCTAAAGAAGACAATATTTGCTAGCGGTGGGCTTGAGCCGTTACACCTTTTGTTTGGACTTGTTTTTTCGTGTCTTTGTACTTTTTCATGTTCCTCAAAATGGGTCGATTCTTAAAAAATAAAAAAAACTAAAAACACTCCATAAAATATGTTAAAGAAATGCTTTCACCTGGAAAACTTCCAAGTGGAATTTGGTAGATATTTCACTTATGCAGGTGCGAGCGAAAGGGGTCAAATTCTGTTGAACGACCAATATTGCTCTAAAAACATTCTCCGATTTCATGCGGTTGGTATACGTTTTCATTGTCTTGACACCAACCTTCGGTTCTTCTGGAAAGAAAATGTATATCTGTACAGAAAAGAGTCACTATAAGAGGAAGGAAACAAATAGAAGAATTAACGAGAAACTTGCAGCCCTTGTCTGAGACAATACCTGATCAGAGCTATCATTTCTCTTCGCTTTGTTGATCACGATATCTTCTCGTTTCATGCTTTCACCATATTTATTCTTAAATTGCTCTCTGGACATGTCAACCTCAAAGTCTCCAACGAAGTAGCCTCGGTCTTTAAGCATTTGTAACACAGTTTTTCGAACTCTGAAAAGCCTGGTGATTTCCTCCTCTGCTAGCACCATCTTGTCTGTAGCTAATCTATTGTCAAACAAGTCAATACTCAATATCTATGCTCCAAATGTGCACACAAAAGATAGATAATGCAGATTCTAAATGAGGTAAAATTCATTAGTAGAAACATCAATCTGATTAATTATGTTACGTATTGGAAATTTCAAAACCAATGCAAAACACAGCTTATAGAACACGTTATGGATATAATAGAACAATAATTTTCAGAAAATTCAAAACAAGTTGGAGACACCGACAATGCGAGAACAAGAAAACAAATTTGGCTAGAGCTTGCTGGTGCCCTTAATCCCTAGTCAAAGAGACAAAAATTTAAAGAAAATGATTAAATCAGGCTGGAGAAGCACAAACAAGCAACAACAATTTTTAGACATGTTGTACCCGTCTAAGTCCAAGTCCACCACTAGTAGATATTGTCCTCTTTGGGCTTTCCCTTTCGGGCTTTCCCTTTCGGGCTTTCCCTCAAGGTTTTTTAAAACGCATCTACTAAGTAGAGGTTTCCACACCCTTATAAAGAATTCTCCTCCCTAACCAACGTGGGATCTCACAATCCACCCCCTTCGGGGCTCAGCGTCTTCGATGACACTCGTTCTCTTCTCCAACCGATGTGGGACTTCCCAGTCCACTTCCCTTCGGGGCCCAGCGTCCTTGCTACCATACCGACTCATGTCCACCCCCCTTCGGGGCTCATCCTCCTCACTGGCACATCGCCCAGTAGAGGTTTCCACACCCTTATAAAGAATGTTTCGTTCTCCTTCACAGATGTGGTATCTCACACATGCTATATATATATATATATATATATATATACACACATTTTTCTTCTTTTTATTCTAAATAACTATGTTTGAATCAACTACAGTACACCTCAACCAACCCTACAAGACAACAAGTTCACCATGATGCTTTTGAATCCAAAAAACTTAATATCCTTAGTTGACCACATTGATTTACCTTGTAAACTCAAAATATCTTATAGAACAACCGTTTGATCCTATTACACTAAGTTGCCAAAGAAACTAGTAGGATATTAAATCTTAAAAAGCTGACCACTATGGCTTGAATCCATTCTCTCTAAATTGGTTACCTTTTCCCCCCTTCTTCGAATAGGAAACAAAATATCCCATTACTAAGAGGGGGATATACAAAAAAGAATTGAGATATCCCCTACAAGCCAAGGGGGTTACAAAAAGGATTCCCAATTAGCGAACATTTATGATAAACCATAGTTACCAGAAGAGGGCAACAACACCTAGTAGACGAAAAACAATCCAATTTGTTTTTAAAAAAAATATCACTTCCCAGAAAAGTCGAGCCACCACAGAATTACCACAGAAAAGTTCAAATGAGTTGATAATAAGCCTCTGAATAACCTTTGGGAAACACTCAGCTGAAGGTAAAATATTTTAAAGAGACTGGGCCAACAAGAGGCAGCAAAAGGGCATAGGAAAAACAAATGCAATCTTTCAACTCAAACAATCTCAGAGATTGTACCAACCCTAAAGTATATTTACAAACATTATAGGAACCAACACTATCAAGCCAAACCAAAAGAAAAAAGGAAAAATCCAGTAATCAAAAGAGTGAAGAACAGATTACAAGAATCAGAGAGATAGAGCAATGTAATATCAAGAGCGAAACCTGCAAGAATCTTCGCAAACGAGGGAAATTTATAAATCAACATACAACAGCATAAAAAACTGGAAAAAGAACTACACTCAGCAACCAGACACAGGATCACAAATTCTCAGACAAAAACAAACCTTACTCAACAGAGAGTTACTGCTACGAGATAGAGAAAGAGAGACAGAGTTGGTGGTTTGGCGGTGGCGGCGGCGGCGGTTTTGTGGAACGATGAAGAAGAAGGAGAGAGATGGAGGGAGAAGAAGCGGTGATTTTGGGGGAAAAGAGTAACCAGAAAAAACGTAAACGCCTCGATAAATATACCCTCCAAAGTTTTGACTCAAAAGCCGAAACAATTTCGGAGTGGGCCCAAACTTTTCTCACAAGCAATTTATAGTAAAATTGGAAGATTAATCTTTAAACTCACATATTTAAATAAATAAATAAATAAATATCTAAAAAAATCTCAAATTTGTGGAATAGATATATATATATATATATATTAATTTATTTTAAATCTAACGCATCAATAAATATTGACATATTACTTTCTCATATAGAACCGAGTTGTTACGAAGAAATTTTCGTTTTCTATCGAAATTTTTAATTCCCTCTTCTCTCGTGTTTGGACGAATGTGTCGTTGACCTTTAAAAGCCTTTACAAGTTAGAGTTTACACATAAATTAACACGTTGAGTCGTTATCAGTGTGGTAATTTTTGTTTTTCTTAGACGTGCTCCTTTTTTTCTTCTTATAAACATTAAAATTTCATAATATTTGAAGAATATATTATTTATGGAATATATCTTCGATATTATATTTTAAAATTATTTTTTATGATCTGATTTATAGTATATTTTATTTTATTCTCAATATTTAAAATTAGTTTATATTTTTATCCTATTTAAAGGATATGAATATGAATGAGAACACACTGTCCATTCCAATTCTATTTCTATTTCTCGATATTAGAGCACTCATCTTGGTATTCTTAAATATCAAAATTTTCTCTTGAGTTAGGGTTTGGTATTCCTAATAGGGGAGTATTAGACTTAAAGCCAAACCCTATCTCAATCAGTCTTTACAGTCGCAGTTCATCAACTAACTCAATCAGTGAAGTCTTTACTGCCGTTGATCATCCACCGTTATAAGCATCTTCAAATTTCTCACCAAGCTCAAAGGTGGTATATTCAAGATGGTCGTATTCTCTTTCACAACTTCTCAAGTGATCCAGAATACTGATCTTGGTGTTATTATCCAACTTCATAACTTTATGTTTATTTAACACATCCTTATTATATTCATCCTTCTGATCAACTAGGATATTCACTTGTTCCAATCAAATTAAATGGAACAAATTAACAAGCCTACATTCTCTATTTTCACTACTAGGAAGACAAAAGTGTTATTGACCTACACTCCCTTCTCAAAGATAACTTGGGTGTTATTGACCCACACTCGTAAAGATAACTAGGGTGTTATTGACCTATGCTCGTAAAGACAACTTGGGTGTTATTGACCCACACTCGTAAAGATAACTAGGGTGTTATTGACCTATGCTCGTAAAGACAACTTGGGTGTTATTGACCCACACTCGTAAAGATAATTAGGGTGTTATTGACCTATGCTCGTAAAGACAACTTGGGTGTTATTGACCCACACTCGTAAAGATAACTAGGGTGTTATTGACCTATGCTCGTAAAGACAACTTGGGTGTTATTGACCTACACTCGTAAAGATAAGTTGGATGTGATTTAACCTACACTCTTCAACTCAATATAATATTTGAAGAATATATTAGTTATGGAATATATTTTAAATATTATATCTTAAAATTCTCAAAAGAATATATTAGTTATGAAACATATCTTAGATATCATATCTTAAAATTATTTTTTTGATAATTTGATTTATAGTATATTTTTAGTTTATATTTCTATTTCTCATTCTTAATAACCACATTTTTACTATGTTTGACTATAAGTGACGATGATCACAATGTGTAAATAGGTTAAGAATTATAATGTGCAACGTGCAACACGGATTTTCAATATCTTATTATCTCTCGTGCAATAGAACAACTAAAATCTCTTAATAGACAAATCAAATGCATTCAAAAAAAGTGGTGCATCTTAAGATAGAACGTCTCGTTGGACATCTCTATTCGTTGAAGAAACTAAAAATTCTAGAAATCAAATGCATTCTTTAAAAGATATTGCATCTAACAGAACCTAACCGAGAGAAACATCATCTTTATGCAATCCGTCATTTTATCTAAATTAAGAACTTACACCATGTTGATGGGTCCTTCAGGTTGTTACATTCGAACAAGTTGAATGAGAAACGAAACATGTCCCTTATGAAAAGATTCAATTATACAGTGAGAAGACAAAGTAAGACTGACATTATAAGAAAATCTTGCTAAAACAGTTTGAAATTGGGCGAGGAGTACTAAAGTTTGGATGGTCAGAGTCCTTTAGAATGAATCTCGATCATTCCCTGTATGGAGTGGGAAGAAAGAGGAGGAGAACTTTACCAATCCTTTTGTAAAGAGATCGACAATTGATCTTCACTTACCCATCGTCATCGTCGGTGTGTTATGATGATTTCAATCACCTGAAAATTTCATAACATAATTCAAACAAACATGAACGTGTGTACTAGATTCAAATCAAGAAAAGCACTAAAAATGAATTGAAACGCTATTAAATATCAGAGTCATATACAAAGAAATGATACAAAGGAGAAAAATGAGCTATTCTCCTCTTCCTCTTTGTAATCAACTTCCCCAACACCTCTATCCTGTCGAAAAGCATATGGATTTTGAATGGAGAAGCAACACATCCTCAGCAGCTTGTGATTGGCTATTGGTAGTTGATTCAGCTGCTCACCCTCGTGATAGGTAGCTTTTATGTCTGAAAAATGTTTTGTCAAGCTCCACTTGTAAAGAAAAGATTAGTATAATGGCATGCCAATAGCTGTGCAGTGAATGGCAGACAGAATGAGAATGGGTAGCACAAGAATCTGGGTATATAATCCATCAACCAAACAAATAGTAGCAAGATGGTTAGATAGATAAGAGCCAGGGCACCACTGGATCTCTTTGTTTAAATACAAATTCCACTCTCAAGAAAGCAGTTTCAAATGGAAGAACACTTGATATTACACCAGATTCAGAGTCGAAAACTGAAAGAAAACAAAAAGAATCCAAGGAATTTAGATTTAATCCAACCATGTGCCTGTAATGACCGTACAACAACAAGGATTAGTCGGAATTGTTAGATGAACACGACTCTCTACCATGGTATGATATTGTCCACTTTGAGTATACGCTCTCGTGACTTTGCTTTGGGCTTCTCCAAAAGGCCTCATCCCAATGGAGAGAGTATTATTTGTTTATAAACCCATGATCATTCCCTAAATTAGTCGACGTGGGATTTTCATCATCTAACACTTCTCCTCGAACAAAGTACGCCTCCCCTTAATCGAGGCTAGACTCCTTTGTAGTCTTAGGCATTTTTTACTGCCTTCGAGGAGGCTCGACTCCTTTTCTTTTGGAGTCCTTTCTTCGACATTTGAGGATTTACCCATCTATTGGCACGACTAAGTTTAGGGCATGGCTCTGATACCATGTAAGATGAACACGACTCTCCACAATGGTATGATATTGTCAACTTTGAGCATACAAACTTTGCTTTGGGCTTCCCCAAAGGGCTACATCCCAATGGAGAGAGTATTTTTTGTTTATAAACTCCATGATCATTCTCTAAATTAGTCGATGTGGGACTTTCATCATCCAACACCTCCCCTCGAACAAAGTACGTCTCCCCTTAATCGAGGCTCGACTCCTTTGTAGTCTTACTCATTTTTTACTGCCTTCGAGGAGGCTCGACTCCTTTTCTTTTGGAGTCCTTTGTTCGACATTTGAGGATTTACCAATCTATTGGCACGCTAAGTTTATACCCTGTTAGATGAACCACGACTCTCCGCAATGGTATGATATTGTCCAATTTGAGCATACGCTCTCATGGCTTTGCTTTGGGCTTCCCCGAAAGGCCTCATACCAATGGAGAGTATATTCTTTGATTATATAAACCCATGATCATTCCCTAAATTAGCCGATGTGGGACTTTCATCATCCAACGGTCGGAATCACTTAGCAATTGCCACAAAACATTGAGTTGATGAATATCAGTTCTAGGACAGAGTGCGTTTGCTTTCTTCTCCTCACAAATCAAACCAAAAACAAATAACAAATCGAAGAAAAATCGAAACGCTTTTCTTTCAAAATAGGGACAGAAAGCAGCAGAACCAGTGAAATTTGGCAATGTACCAGCAATTAAAGGGCCTGAGGATCCAGAATCAAGAAACTCAGACGAGTGATGTTGGCGAATTAGATTTCGCAAGGTTTTGAGTAAAATTTTGGCTGGATCGATAGAACGATCCAGTCAAGAAGCTGAACTTGCTTTTCGATTTTCATTTTTCCATGCAATTTCTTCATCCATTAAGATCACTAAGAAAAACACAAAGAAAGAAGAAGAAAATCATTCAATGAGAACAAACCATTTCGAATGAAAATTTGGATTTGAAGGGAAAATGAAGAACAATTGAAAGTACGCCCTAGAAATTGAAACAAATAAAGTGAAATGATGATCATGTTTCCATCGATCTCTACAATGGAAAAGAAACAGCCTGAAAAATTCATTCGAAACAGAGCATAGAGTGCTGTGCAAAACGAACGCGAAAGAGACGTAAAGGAAAGGATCAGATCCATTGCCGAAAACAGAAGAAAAGAATCCGCAAGCAAGCAACGATCGAGTTATTTAGTTCAAAGAAATCAGAATCATTACATCAGATCAAAAAAGATAGCGGAACACCTGACCTTTTCTTTCTTTTTTCTTGTATTTCGGCGATTGATTCTCAGAGAGGCATTTCCACAAACACCTTGTGTGCTCTGCACTGAACATTAATGGCGATGAATCGCCGCCACGGAAACCAGAGCATTGTCGTTGGTAGAAACAAGCAAAGGAATGTTGTTGAAGAATCGATCGTGGGAGTGGTGGTGATTGTTCATGATTTTGAGAAATCTGGACCTGGAAAATCGGCTTCTATTCAGATTTATAGTGGAACCGAACTGGATCCAAGTGAGCCTTCTTTTCTCCACTTCTTACTCAATTCATTCCAAAATCAAACAAATACATCAAAGCTGTTATTCGATCAATTTGTCAAAAATTTTGAATATCCTTCGCCATAATTTCTACACCATAATCATAGCATCTTGACTTTGATCATACCGATATACGAATCTATCAAACACAAAAGTTGTATTTTGTTCTTCCAATCTCCTCCTCCATGCATCTTTGAAAATTTTAAAATGTTTTCGAGTAAATTAAGAATTTATTACACACAAAATTTGGAAAAATCTCTTCTCCAATCATCGACTAAACAAAGAACGTGTAACAGCCTTGGGATCTCACAATCCACTCTCTTGAGGGCCAACGTTATCGGTGTTTGGTGTCACAATCGCACTTTTGATAGCAGCGGACTTGCGATTGTGCGACACTCACTTTCCAACGACAAGTGAGCTAAGCCAATTCGTTCTTGCGTCGCCTACGGCCAAGCGACGTATGCTCGAGCCTTTGGCCTCGGTTTTAAGAGAAGGTTTTAGAAAACGAGGACAGAGAGAGATTTTTGAAAGAGACGTTATATAAGCAAACAAGAGAGGAATAACAACGGCTCACAGTATATAACTTTGGGTAGGGAGAAATTGACAACTAGTCGTATCCCCCGATAGTACATTCTGGATTTCATGTATGAGAGGCAAGCCTAGACATGATATTTTTGAAACGTCATACTTCTTATAAATACAAGAGTAAAACACTAGAATATGAAAAGATATAAAAGGTTGGGTTTGTCATGGGCATGGGGCCATGGGTAACATGCCTTGTACTAGCATGACCGTGACATTTGGCTCATTATGAGATCGCATGGTTAGGGAGGGAAACAAAACATTCCTTATAAGAGCGTGGAAACCTCATCATAGTAGACGCATTTTAAAAAACGTGAGACTAATAACAATACGTAACGGAGTAAAGTGGACAATATCTAGTAGCGGGCGGGTTTAGATTGTTATATAATGTGTTTACGATATTATATTTTGATTACGATTCTTCCTCGTTTAACAGGTACGGGAAACGGAAAGACGAGTAAAACGGCGAAGTTAAAAGAATGGAGAAGCAAGAAAAAGAGTGATGGGTCAAGAATCAGCAACTATAAAGTGAAGCTGAAGGTTGAGAAAGGGTTTGGAAATCCAGCAGCTTTTGTGATCACAAATGAACATAAGCACAAATTTTACCTTAAATCAGCTTTTCTCCAAATTCCCAAACTTCATCCCAAAATAATCCACTTTGATTGCAACTCTTGGGTCTATCCATTCAACGTCGCAAACACTCCTCGTGTTTTCTTCTCGAACACTGTGAGTTTTCTTTACTAGTTTTAGTCTTGATCGGTTATATCCTTAAACTTTAAATCACGACACTGTTAGACGAACACAACTCTCCACAATGGTATGATATTGTCCACTTTGAGCATAACCTCTCATGGCTTTGCTTTGGGCTTCCCCAAAAGGCCTCGGACCAATGGAGTTAGTATTCCTCACTTATACACCCATGATCATTTCCTAAATTAGCCGATGTGGGACTTCCATCATCCAACAGACGTGATTTGTCTAAGCTGATTTGACATAGTGTGATTAATGAAGATGATACTGTGTCACTGTATCTTTTTCCCGCTAATCACTTTCTTCATCGTCATTCTAATACTCCGTCAAATAATGCAAATAATCGTAATTCAAACTACAATAACTTGATTATAACTTACTTAGTGTTTTGATTAGAGTTATATTCCAAGCCAAACGCCGAGGCCCCTCGTGGAGCTAAGAAAAGAAGAGCTAATAAAGCTAAGAGGAGACGGGAAAAGAGAAAACAAGGAATGGGAGAGAATTTACGAGTACGATTACTACGACAAGCTTTCAAGATCTGAATTGGGTGAATTGTCGTCCTCTCATCCATATCCTCGTAGAGGAAGAACAGTTCAACATCCTAACAGTGGTACACAAAATTCTTCTCTTTCACATTCTTCGTCGTTTCATACCCGTTTTACCTAATCGGAGGCACGAAATAGTATTAACAAATGAGTACGAACGTCGATAAGCGAAAAACGCTTCATTTAAAAGCACTTTTGTTTGTTTGGTGCATGATAAGATGTACCTCCTGATGAGAGGATGAGGCAAAGCAAGGTGAAAGGAATAGTTTCAAGCTCAGTGGAAGCTGCTCTTCAGTTCCTCATTCCAACCCTAAAGGCCCAACACTACACCATCAATCATTTCAACTCTTTTGTTGAATTGGGCCGTTTCTTTTGGGCCCAAAAGCCCAAAAACATGGCCCAATTAGACCAATGGACCACCCTCAAACTCCAAAAATTTATCCCACAAAATCTTTTCCCACAAATTCTTTCCCAAAAAGATGACTTCATCTATCCACATCCTCACCTTCTTAAAGGTAATTTTTTTTTCTTATTTATTTATATTTTATACGTAATTTAGAAATTTGTTTATGGGCTTAAAAATATTTCTAAGAAAATGAGAAATAAAAAGCTATTTATTTTACCAATGATATAATGTAAAAATGTATTATTTATTTATTTTTTATTTTTTTAAATTCAGAAAATGAACGTGCATGGATGGATGATGATGAATTTGCACGACAAATGCTCGCCGGAACTAATCCTGTGCGAATCACATGCTTACACGTATGTCAATTATGCTTACACTAATATATTTTAAGATTATGTTACAAATTTAGTGTAATTTTTTTTTTTTAATAATCGCTCATTTTTAAAATTTGTTTAATAAATTATTGTGATATTTATTTATATTTTTACTTTATAAATCTATTAAATATAAAGTTTCAAAAGCTTAAGACCAAAATCTATTCACTTACTTGGACAGAAATTTCCACCAGAAAGCAAAGCCAAAGTGGTTAGTACAATAAAAGCTTCTGATATTGAACACAACCTCGATGGTCTTCCCCTTCAACAGGTAATATATGTATATATATACATATATATATCATCTCTTCCTTTATGTTGCTCCTCTCTAAACCTGTAAATCATCGACTAAATCGACTAGAAGGTTTAAATTGTTCATACAAAAGGCAAGATTATACTGATATGATGTCAAGTTTTAGTATAGAAATCGACAACAAAAAGAGTTTGTACTACGCAAAATCAAGGTAGGAGGATAACAAAAGACGAGACGACAGCAAAATAAGGACTTAGAATGACGATTTGTTTTCAACATTCGATACAGAAAAATGGATATTTCAAAAGTTCGTAGAAATGAAGTTTTGGGTTCCGTTCTATTTTAGTTCTCGTACTTTCTAACTGCACAAAATATTAAAAAGTTGCACCAAAACATTAAAAACTGCTTAAAAGGATACTTATGTTGTGAATATTGAAATATTTTAGTGTTCTGAAATGTTATAGGCAATAGAGGACAGAAGGATATTCATGTTGGATCATCATGACTATCTAATGCCATTTCTGAATAGAATAAACAGTAGCAATGTGTTTGCCTATGCATCTCGAACCCTACTCTTCTTAAGGACTGATTCTACACTAAAGCCTTTGGCCATTGAACTTTGTTTACCATACTCTGAAGCTGAAGGAGGAGAGATAAGTTGGGTTTACCTGCCAGCACCTGAGGGCTTGGAGGCTGCCCTGTGGCAGCTTGCCAAAGCTCACGTCGCTGCCAACGACTCCGTCTACCATCAACTCGTCAGCCATTGGTGAGACCCCTCACCTACTTTCATAGATTCAAGAGTTTGGTATCAAATATAACAAGATAATATCTTTTTCTTTGATGGGTTGTGGAAATACCCACAAATTATTAGCTTAGTCTCTATTCAAGTTTGGCTTTGAATCAGGACTTAATAGTTTCGAAATTTTCTTTATAGCTTATAATCTGGTTAAATATCATAAACTAAAGCTTTTTAAATCTAAAACCATAGTTGACATGTGAGATCTAACATCAGTTGGAGAGGAGAATGAATCATTCTTTATAAAAGTGTGGAAACCTCTCCCTAGTAGACACGTTTTATAAACTTTGAGGGGAAGCTTGAAAGAGAGCCCAAAAAAGACAATATCTACTAGCAGTGAGCTTGAGTTGTTACAAATGGTATCAGAGGTAGACACCAAACAGTGTGCCAACAAGGATGCTTGCCCCAAAAGGGAACGAAGTATTCCTTATAAGGGTGTGGAAATTCACGTGAATAGAGTATAGGTACTGGGAATTAAATTTTTTTAAGGTACTTAGCAAGACCTACCTGATTTCCTCTATTTTTAACCCAATTCAAACTCTAATTCAATCAACCTAGAATGTCAACTCCTTATCTCTCTACAACAATGAAAAAAAAACATTTTCTATTCAAGTTCTCTACAACTCCTTATCTATTCATTTTAAGCCAAAAAAAAATCGTTTTGAGATCTTTGTAGACCAAATATTTGTCCAGTTAATCCTACACAGTTCATGCTGTCAAAGTAAAATGGCATAACATGCAATGTTATGTAAATGTTTAGGTTACATACCCATGCAGTTGTCGAGCCGTTCATCATTGCCACTCGCAGACAGTTGAGTGTTATGCATCCAGTCTACAAATTGCTGAATCCTCATTTCAAAGACACCATGCACATCAACTCACTATTTAGAAGCTTCCTGTTGAAACCTGATGGAATCTTTGAGAAGATATTGTTTTCTGGTCAATTCTCCATGGAATTATCTTCTGAGCTTTACAAAGAGTGGCGATTCAACGAACATGGCCTCCCAGCGGACCTGCTGAAAAGGTAACAACAATTACGTTGCTTTTCCTTTTATGATAATAGACGTGTGCCAACATTGCTTTGGTTTCTTAGAAATATGGCTATAAGGGATCCAGATCCAGGAAACCTGTCCGGAGTTCAGCTCATCTTCCCTGACTATCCATATGCAGAAGATGGCCTTGAGATATGGACTGCAATCAAGACATGGGTCAAGAGTTTCTGTTCAATCTTCTATAGAGATGATGACTCTGTACATTCTGATGAAGAACTCCAAGCTTGGTGGTCCGAGATCAGAAATGTCGGTCACGGCCACAAGTTCAACGAGTCGGGGTGGTATGAACTGACCACACTATCAGACTTGGTAGAGGCTTTGACAACTCTCATATGGACAGCAACTGGACTCCATGCTGCAGTGAATTCAGGGCAATATGCATACGCCAGTTACCCTCTTAATCGTCCCACACTGTGTCACAAGTTCATTCCCAGTGAAGGAACAGCTGAATATGCTGAATTCTTGAGTGATCCAGACAAATACTATCTCGAGATGTTACCTGGAAAGTTTGAAACTGCGCTTACCGCTGCATTGACGGAGGTCCTTTCACATCACGCAAAGGATGAACTGTACCTGGGAAGGATGTCATCACACAGCTGGACAGATAATGCAAGGGTCCGGCATAGCTTCAGTGTGTTCAGCATAGAACTTAAAAATATAGAGAAGCGAATAGCAGAGAGAAACAAAGATCCTAACCGCAAGAACAGAAGCGGTCCCGCCAAGATCCCATACGAACTTCTGTTCCCTGATACATCAAATGTTAATCCAAAAGGAGGGATTACAGGCAAAGGGATTCCAAACAGCATATCTATGTGATGCAGATTCATGAAATTACTTACACTAAAAATGTTCAACAAAAAAAATATGGGCAAGAGCATTCTTTAATCATCTACCTATCTTAATATGAAAAGTCTGCTACCTAATTACTCTATGTTATTGCAGACCCTTAAAAAATAAATCAACCAACGATGAGTTTGGGACAAATAAAACTACTCTTAAAAGTTTTCAATGTTTGGTTGGATAACCCAAGTGACTTTAAAAAGTTATCTTCGAGGAAACACTCACTTTTACAAGAAGCTTTTAGGAGAATCACTCAGAGTGCTCCCTCCAAGAATGCCTGCAAAAGAAGAGTTTTTACTCCAAAGTAATTTTTCAAAAGTCGCCTCAAATGCCCCATAAGTCTTACAGATAGGTTTATAAACTGCAGCCAATAGGTATTTTCTTTTTCCTATCCCAACCATGTAATGTGTTTGTTATCAAATCAGAAACAGTTAGCAATACTATAAACCAAAAAGATTAAGAAATGTTTATGCATTAAGGCACACCACTTCAGGAAAAATTTCTCAGAACAAATGAGCTACAGATACTGAAAGTCAAGGTACAGAACATTAAATACATGGACTGCTGAGTTGCTACGATATTGTTGACCTTCAACTACAAGTTGGCTCTTTGAAAGGGGAAAAGGGGCAGGTTTACATGAGATCGGAGCCATCAAGAATACCGTTATTAAATCATAAGGTGTAAGCATTTATTAGCATCGTCCTTGTAATGAAAAAGGAGCGGGATCAACTTTCCCAGGAATTCCCAGCACCATGTTAACAATCATTTCTGCAGTCCCTAGTGCCTGAATGTAAACAAAAATAAGTCAAATAATCGAATCAACGGGAAAAAAACGAGTTAGGATTGTCACTAGTTCAATGGAACCATGATTATCTCTATTAGAAGGGTGGTTTTGGAGTATCAGTAGTTTTTAATTGGGGGGAGAGAGAGAGAGTCACCATTGAAAGTCCACCACCTTCATGGCCAGATGCAAGGAACACATTTGACAAACCAGGAACAGGCCCAATCACTGGCTTTCCATCAAGCACTGTGGATATAAACTCATACGGGAAAATAAGATAACACAAACCCTGAAAATTCAACAGTCGAAACTATTGAAAGTGACATGATACTCACTGTATGGTCGTAGACCTATTCTCACTTTACTGCTGCTTTTGATCTCTGAAAAAGAGATTTCTTTCATCGTGGGAAAGAATTCTGAAGCTCTCTCCCATATACGAGCAATTATGGATTCATTAATATCAGTGTTGAAACCAGCAAACTCACGGCTGCTCCCTGAAATTAGATGACCAATTTCCAATGAAAGGTTTCAAATTTCTGGCAATATATATATAATTTTTTTAATATAAAAGAAACAATATCTTAGATTGAATGAAATTTTCAAAAGATGTCCCTAATTCAAGGGAGTTACAAAAGAGCTCTTCCCGTTAGATATCAAAGAGCACTAACTATAATGATGAATGAGGGGGCGCGGCGCACGTACACCAGAGACGACCAATTCTTCACATGTTTTCAGGATTCTAATGTTTATTCATCACATTCCAAGCAAGATACAATAAGGTATGGAACCATGCAAGTCTATAAGCTTACATGGAGCAGCACGATTAAAACACATTAGAATAAATATATGCATAGATGCATAAAAAAAAAAGGTTTATGACAGCTATGAAAAACAAACTTAAGTACTTTAAAACAGTGGTCACAAAGTTTCATATTTTACCAAGTACTAGATTGCCTTGAACATCCATAGTGGCAGTCATTGAAATGGATGAGGTATGTTCAAGATCTTTAGCCGAAGTTAAAGCTTGGTGGTTAACATAGCCCACCTCCATCAAACCATGATTAACATGAAAGGAATTAAAATTCTCGATGACAAGCAAGTGACCCTGCAATGAAAGAGAGGTTTGGTCCTAATCAACCTTTTGAGGAGATGGAAAATATTTCAGAGAAAACAATCTCGATAATTGATCATTTCAAGTTCCAGGTTATTGTAATTAACTTACATGAGGAGAACGAGAACCTAGCTATCATAGAAAAGATAAATATATATCAAGCTAACATGATACTAATTCTCAGCTAAAGCAACTACGTACAGTAAGAAAATAGCAAGAAAAGGAACTAATCAAAGATGTAACCAAGAAGATCATTTCTCAGGAATCAGGGAGGAAAATAATGCTTGCTTCTTTCAACACCTGGCCTTGCAGATATTGTGTATTCCTAGCATGTTCATAACTTGGAAGACAAATGAGGCTACCCCTGATTAATCAAAACCCAGCAACTATAATGCTAGTAAAATTGGAGAAATTCTTTTAACTAAACGATTGCAAAAAGCCTAGTCCCCACATTCTGTTTAAAAGTGAACACTTTGGGTTCAATCAACTGACTCCTCATATCTAAAGAGTAAATAATAATGTCAATAACTGACCAAAAATAGAGCGGATCAGTATAAGACATGAAAAATCTCAAAGAAAAGTCAGTGTGTTCATAGATCCACACCTTTCTTGGCATTATGGGAACATCCAAAACAGTTTTTTCTTCCCTGAGTAAATCACGCAGCAAAGTCCCACTCCAACAACCAGCTGCTAAAACAATGGCCTTCTTACTGTACAACGTAGTCTTGGCCGTCTGAACAGCTTCTATCTTTCCATTGCTACCAGATCTGAGGGTGTACAAAAGTGAAGTTCTTATCATCTTATTACTATAATGCTTATAGGGATTCATGTTAAAAGACATATTGGTCAATTGATGTAAATTGAATACTAGATACATGAATTAGTTCAGAATTTTTGGCAATTTTGACTTTCTTTTAATGAGAAACCAGAGTACTGTTGACTGTTTCACTCTTTGCCGCGGACTGTTAAGAAGATAACACATAAGATAGGCTATACTTTATTTTATAAAACATTATTGAGAGGTGCTGATCACACTGTTAAGCAACTAGTTTTGATCAGTGACTGGCATGCTTCCATTTTACTTTTGGGCTAAATTACAGAAAATGTCCCTGAACTATGGATCTCGTTTAAAAAAATACACCTAGACTTGAAAAAGTTTTTAAAACACTCTTTTGACCTTTCAAAAAGATCCAAAAAAACCTTTATTGTTAATTTTTGGAAGGAAACCGTTAAAGTTTCATTGATAACTTTTGCCTTTCAAAAAGAAAAAAACTCTTACTGGAAAACATTTCGTCTTCTTCTCTCTGCAAATGCCCTTCCTCTATGAAAATTAATAAGAAACTTCGTTTGTTTGCTATGTATTCATAGACAATAAGCTTTTCATCTCCTTCAATACAACATCTCAAAGAGCCTACCCATATCCTTATGTTGAATTTTCAAGATGGCTTTTGCTTAATTCTTGAATTTTTCATGTCCTTGACTTGATTTTTTTTTTATTATAATTATTTTTTTTAGTTTTTTCACTATTGTTTCCTCACCAGTCACAATCCGACAACTTTCCATAAATTCATTTTAGACATAATAAATGAGAATTTTGTCAGCGGTTCTAAGACTTCTTGAATATTAAAAAAGAAATCACATATCAAACTTTTGATTAATTAACCCTTGTAAACCGGATCAAATCCTCCTTCAAGTTTAAGGACGTAGCAAAAATTTCACCAAATAAGCTCCAAAACCTAAAATCCATAACCATAAGCATAACCTTTTCTTCCTTTACCACCCATAATCGTAGTTGAAACCATACTAATCTTCTGCTTATCAGTAACACACAAACAGAGAGAGCAAAAGAAGGAAAAAAAAAAAGGACCAATTATCTTATTTACACTTTTAAAAAGAGAGCTCGATACTGAACTTTTTTCATCTGATGTTCTATTGCACATATCTTATTAAATATTTTTTTAACCCTGCTCAAATTTTATCTCTCCGCTCTCTTTTACTATTTTCTCGAAGTTATTTTGTGTCAAATCAAACCAGGCTAATGGTCATGGCCTTGTTCTTATTTCAGATATCTTGTAGCATTACAGACTCCGAGGGTTAGCTGTAGAAAGATTTTTTTTGATAGATGCTGTATCTACAGGACCCTTCAAAGTTAATGAATTTCAAGAACGTATTTGATTCTGTTTATCAATTAGTTAAAGAAAAGGTTATTTATGATATGCATATTCAAACATCAACTAACTAGAAATCTATCAGAACAGCAAATTTTTGTTGGTATTGCTGTTAACCTCGATGTGTAGGCTAAGAAAAACAAACCTTAATAAGCCTGTAACTGGATCATGAAAAAATTCTGCATATCTTCCTTCAAAATTTCTGTTGGCCTACACGTTTATGATATCTATCAGTAACATGCGACGTGCTAGCTTGATATTAACACATTGTAGCAAATGTAATTGAATAGGTAGAAGGAGAATTAATATTTTCAGTCAAAACCTTTTCGATAAATGCTGCAGTACAATGAGCATCCAATTGGCAGTCATTGGGGAGAAAGGCAGCCCCGCAGCTGTTTCCGATCAGCAAAGCTGGTTCCATGGAAAGCAAATCAGCAACAGATAAGTACTCAACTTCTAGTCCGGCCCCAGAAAGTTGCTTTACCTTCCTCTTTAACATGTCAAGCTCTTCAGGTGTTTTACCAATTAACAAGCTCCCTAAAACACAAATAATAACCATAAGAAGTAGATACAACTCGCTCATCAGTCACACAATTCATGTAAGACTGCATAATTTTCAGAGAAAATGCATAAAAAACGTTCAAATCCTGTCTTGAATGCAGTTCTTGGCCACAAATGTACTCCATGAAATTGTATTAGATCATTTACTGACCTGATTTCATGAATTCTTTAAGGAACATACTTAATTTACTAGTTGTTCCCCAGCATTGTTTTCAGACAACATATCTATATATGCAACTTGCAAGTAAGCTAATGGTTGTTGCTTCTCAAAAGAATAGCAACTACCTAATGTATGATCCTGTGTGGCAGCAAATGAAGAATGCAAATGATATGGAAGCCAGAATTACTATGAGTGATCGATGCAAAAAATTGGTTTCATCGTTTCTCTTATGTAACGACCCTAAATTTTTCTACTTAATCTAAGGTCAATTTAAAGTCGCTGCTGTATGCATATTATGAACATTGAATGTCATAAAACATAACTTTCATCTTAAAGCACAGTCATGGACTTGCGTGTTCGAAAACATCTTTAAGACGACACAACAAAGGACTAAATAAAATAAACGAACGATTAAGTTAAAAACATCCTATTCTAGCCTAAATCTAGGAAAATAAATGCGACTACTACCCTATGCATGTGTCATGCTCTCGAGTTGCGATGCCATCATTGTTTCTCTTACCTGTCTTTTTCCAACCCAATTCTTCCGATGGATTCAAGCCTTGATCACGCAGGGACTCAGCCAGACTCTCCCACAGCCTGTGACTTCTCAAAGCAAGTTCCCAAATGTCACTGTCAGGTGATTTGTGCCCCATCCATAAATAGCCCTGCCCTGGAACCGATAGATACATTACGATCCTAAGAACAGGTCCACAATCAAACAATTCACACCATTAACAGTTCATTCTGAACATTCTCACCTGCACCAGTAGCTCCAGAGCAAGGGACGGCCTTATCGACGACGGCGACGGACAAATCCGACTCCATAAGAAACTGCCGGGCAATAGTCAACCCGATAATTCCCGCTCCAATGATCACAACATCAAACTCAAAAGTATTGCCATTACGAGAGGTTGAAGACGAAGATTTCACATCTTTCAAAGCACAAAAGCTCACCGGCCCGTACCTATAATCATGACTAGAGCTATTGGCCGATTTTCTCCATTGTTTAGGATTAATCGACGCCCATTTCGGACTGAATCCTAGCTTGCAGAGATGTCTGCTAGAACACGAAGCTTTCCCGGTCCTGATAGAGAGACTTGAGCTTGGGCATGAACGCAGTGAATAAGAAGAAGAACTCATTTGGTTAATCTATGAAGCAATACTGAACTTCGCCGTTCGAAAATTTACTGGATTGGGTCAAGGATCCATCGCCTTCTTTGATTGATTACAATTTATATCCGCCATGGATGTGCTTCGGGATCCTCGAGCTCATTCATCGTTTTTCTAAGGAGATTAAAAATAAAAAAAAAAAACAAAAAAAAAAAAAAAAAAAAAAAAAAAAAACCTTTTGGCAGTGAATTTTAAAAAAACAAACCGAAAAAACGGAAAAAACGGAATTTTTTTTTTTGATATTTTCGTGGCTTCCACAAGTTAACATTTTCGAGTGACCTAATTTCTCGTACTCGTTGAGTGTGTTCCCCTTTCGGTGAGTACTCCGCCCGATTTATTGAGCAATAGCCCCGTTGCTCGTTATCCTTACTTTTCTCTCTGTCGGGCCTCTCATGGCCCTAGTCATAAGCTATGGTAGCTCTGACTCTCACAACCACGGGGGAGAAGCAGCTCGACAAGTAGTAGAGGGGCGAAATTGTGACTAGGGAGAGTGTAATGACCCAAATCCACCGCTAGTAGATATTGTCCTATTTGGGCTTTAAAACGTGTCTACTAGGGGAGGGTTTCCACACCTTTTATAAATGGTGGTTTGTTCTCCTCCCTCCAATCGATGTGGGACCGCCCCCAAATGCACCCCCTTTGGACCAAGCGTCCTTACTGGCACACCGCCTCGTGTTTGCCTCCCTTCGGAGAACAACGAGAAGGCTGACACATCATCTGGTGTCTGGCTCTGATACCATTTTTTAACGACTCAGATCCACCGTTAGCAGATATTGTCATTTTTAGACTTTTCCTTTCGGACTTCCCTCGAGGCTTTAAAACGCGTCTACTAGGGGAGGATTTCCACACCCTTATAAATGGTGGTTTGTTCTCTTCCCCAACCAATGTCAAACATCACAGAGAGAGACGAGGCGGTCAGGTCCGCCTCGGTTCGAATTAGGTTAGGAGATCTTTCACTTTTGCTAGTTCCACTATTTCTCTGTAAATACATTTTTAGTGATTTTTTTGGAAAGTAAAAAGAAAAAAAAAAAGAAAAAGAAAAAGAAAAAAACTGCCAAATAAGTAATAATAGCCCAACTCTTTTTATGTACCCGAATTACCCCCAACAAATTCAGCGCGAGACTTGAAATCCATTGCTGGAAAGCTTTATAATAGTGTCTTTCATTCATCGGCGTCAGCTCATCAAATTACCCAACAATGGCAGTCGCGAACCTCCACAGGTTCCGCCAAATCCACCGTCTGCCGGCGATTAGCTACTCCATTTTCACAAGAGGCTCAGCGTCGGCCGTCGCCTCGTCGGAAACCCCATCGTCCTCGTCCAAAAAGGTGTCAGATCGCATCGTCAAACTGTTCGCGATTGATCCGGAGGGCACGAAGAAGGAGATTGTCGGATTGACCGGCCAGACTCTTCTGAAGGCGCTCGCTAATCGGGGTCTGATTGACCCCGAATCCCATCGATTGGAAGACATCAGCGCGTGTTCGGCCGAATGCGAGGTCAGTATTGCTCAGGAGTGGCTCGAGAAGCTGCCGCCGCGGTCCTACGATGAGGAGTATGTGCTGAAGAGAAATTCTAGGGTTAGGGCTTTGAACAAGCACTCGAGGCTGGGCTGCCAGGTTATTCTCACCCCCGACCTTCAAGGTATGGTTGTTGCTGTCCCCGAGCCCAAACCTTGGGAGATTCCTTAAAAAAATTTACTCGTTTTTGCATCACTGAATCGTTGTTCTTCGGATTTTTTTTGGCTGTTTGGTTATTTAATAATTTGTACCTTCAATTGGTGCATTTGGTGGACAACTTGTTCTCTTTGCGAAAGATTATCCCCTAATTGCGTCGTTTTGATGCTTCTATATTCTAGTTGTTCTGTGTCAAATTGCTTAATGGGATATTTTTTTATTTCGAATTTTCTGTACCTCTTTGTTAAAGTGAATCTAAACATTCTGAGAATGTATTAAGAGATTTACAAGCAATTGTTAGGAACTTAGAATATGAAAATTTTTGGGTTCCATAGGATTTTGTCACTGCTTTGTTGTTCCAGGTAGAGCCCCTCCAGGTAGAACCACTATGGGCATGTCACTGATCTAGGGGTTAGTCATGAACCGTGATGTTTATCAACCGTGATTTCTTTAAAGGCATTGTTCCAAACAATGAGATAGAGTGAGATGGTTGTTCTTTGAGATCAGTCTATTAAAGAAATTAAAACGTTACTTGTTTGTCTTTGTGCACTAGTACTGCCTGAGTTATTTGGGAAATTTCTCCATGTTCACCCCTAAGAGAAGTCTTGTGAGACTTCTCGTGGGCACGTTGGTATTTAGGTTCTTTCTCTTCATAAAAATTGGAGGAGATATTGTTGAAGGTAGAAAATAAATGGAGGTATTATGTATACCTAAACAACTTAAGGAGATAAGAACAAAAATCTTGTTTTTTTTTTTCTCTCAATCGTCTCGGTTAAGGTTTACCTAACTCTTGGATGTATGTATGGTCACTAACTGTAACAGCCCAAGCCCACCACTAGTAGATATCGTCCTCTTTGGTCTTTTTCTTTCGAGTTTTCCCTCAAAGTTTGTGAGGTTTCCACACCTTTATAAAGAATGCTTTGTTCCCTTCTCCAACCGACGTGTGATCTCATAATCCACTCCCTTCGAGGCCCAACATCATTGCTGGCATTCGTTCCCCTCTTCAATCGATGTGAGATCTCACAATTCACCCCTTTCAGGGTCAGCGTTCTTGCTGACACTCGTTCTCCTCTCTAATTGACATGGGATCTTACACTAACTGATCAAGTATAGAGAAGGAGATTGTAGGCTATGTGCAAAATTTATGTTAAAGATCAACTTGTTGAATCTTACATGGATGGATTGGAGCGATTGGCATTTAAGAGGCTTGTCTAGGCCTTAGGTGTGCCTCATTTCCCTAAGAGGCGAGTTGCCTTTGCTAAGTCATATGCTGTGATGTGGCTAATTCTTGTAGTTATTTCTAATAAGAAATATGTTTTCTGGATGTTTATACACTTAAACAACCTCTTATAAAAGCCTTCCTCTATCAGATCTTTTATATTTCCTTGTATCATTGAGTTTAATATTACATTTCATCAGATATATATAGGTCTCCTTTTCATAGCTTAAAGCCATGGGTCTCGAGTCACTGTCTGTGGAACCTTTTCTTATGTAGAATATTTTCTAAACTGGCTGATGGAACACTGTAGCTGGACGATCAATGTTTGCTTATGTCAATGGCATATTAGATGCCGACGAGCCTTGGTATAGGACGGAGAGTATACGTAGGTTGGTTTGAGTTCATTTTTTTGAATCAACGATAAATTGACATGTCGCTACAACGAAGAGAAGTCAATTTATCGTGACGGTTTTTCCATCCAAGCAGAACCACCAGATTACTTATCTTATGTTTTACTTCAGAAAACTAAACCACGGCGATTGTAGTTCGTTCATATTGAATCGACTTGGTTTAGTCAGCCTTATTTTCTTCCAGTTTTGGCATGCACCCCTGAGCCTTTGTGAATAAGTCTGATACGATCATTGCCTTGAATAAAGAAAGCCAAGCATGATTTTGTAAGTGGTTATGGAGATCTCCTAATGAGCCTTTCAAAAGAATATGGGACTAGAGCTGTAACCTTCCCATAAGTGGCTGTCCTCGTTGCCTTGGAAAAGCCATTTCCACGCATAACTACTGAAAGGTTTCTTTTTGTTCATTCGAAATCGGAAATGCGAAGATAGACGGGTTGGCGTCTTGGAGAATTTATTGAAGGCGTTGTATAATGTGTCTGTCAATCTTACACTCGAGGGCTAGATCGAGAGCTAGCGTTCTTATGATTGAGGGCTAGATCGAGAGCTAGCGTTCTTATGATTGAGGGCTAGATCGAGAGCTAGTGTTCTTATGATTGAGGGCTAGATCGAGAGCTAACGTTCTTATGATTGAGGACTAGATCGAGAGCTAGCGTTCTTATGATTGAGGGCTAAATCGAGAGCTAGCGTTCTTATGATTGAGGGCTAAATCGAGAGTTAGCGTTCTTATGATTTGGAACTGAGAGTTGATTCTTCATTCTTGCAAGAGCTAGATCAATAGTTAGCGTTTTTATGATTTTTGACATTTTTTTTTTCATGTGTGGGATCGAGAGGGAATCATTTTTGTTTCTAGAATAGGCTATACATATATTAAAGTATATTAGAAACTTATTAAACATAAACTTATATATATTATAAAAATTAAAACTATTGCACACTTTTAAATTTTAAGAAGTTATTTTACACCAACTTATGCATTTCGATTAGGGTCGTGTTCTATAGTTATGCTGAAATTATTATTTCGAAAGCTAAAAAAATTAACCTCACAATTCATGGTCTCATCTTTTTATTTAATTCAAATTTTATTACGTTAAATTAATAAAATTATATTAAACATTGAACTTTATCTTAAAAAATATCCAACTTTCACAATTCTCAATAATGTCCATTATTTTTGGATAGAAACTGCTAATATTTAAAAAATACCTTTAAATTTTTAAAATAGTTTCAAAAATAGCTTTTAACTCTCCAAATTAATTTTTTTTAGAAGCTTTGAAAATGCCATTAAAATTTTAAAATTTTTTACAAATACCTTTAAATTTTTTTAAAAAATTAAAAAATAATCTTAAACGGACAAAGTTCAGATAATTTATGAGGTGTCTATGGACGACGGTAATTATTTTTTTAAAAATATTTTTTTATGTATAAATTAAGAGTTTAAATAATGACTTTAAAATTTTATGAGTATTTTTTAAACGTATTTTAGTTAAAATATTTTTCAATTTTTATTTTATTTTTATGGTTGAAAATTTTAAGAATATTATTGAAAAATTAAACAATTTAAAGTATTTTTGAGATAAATAACAAAAAGAAAAGAAAAAAACACAAAAACGGAACTTAAAAAAAAAAAAAAGATTTAATAAAAATGGAAAATGAAACAGTTTATAAGATTAAAACGGGACATTTTCTATTTATTTATTTTGTTTTTTCGTTCTTGTTTTGGTGTCCGTTCATACGTTACTCTCTAATTCATTAATTTCCCGTTGAAGTTGAATCGCCACTCTCTTTTTATTTCGCCGTCTTCCTCATCTTCTTCATCATCTCCCGCCCTTTCTTCTTCTCTGCATTTTACCAGTTTTTTCTCACTAATCCGACCTCATGATCGCCCTTCAATACCCCAATGTTCAAGGGTTTTAATCCTCTGCTGTTTTGTCGGTAAGCTTTCATCTACTCATTTACTCTTCCCTGAAAATCGGTGATTCTTTTTGCTCTCCCTTTTGTTTTCTATGTTTTTGGTGGTTGAATATTCATATCATTGCTCTCTGACTTTGTCTCCCCGTTATGGCTCGTGTTCTTGAAGTCGGAGTTGGAAGGGTTTTAGTCTTCGTACCGTTTTATGAAATAGGAAATGAACTCAGTTTATCTTTTTTCTGTAATTTCATGCGAATGCTTCGGTTGGCTCGATTTGATCGAAGAACAATGTGTTTCTCTGGCGGCTTGATTTTTTTTTTCTTCTTATCGCCGGCTGATATTGTCATCAAATCTTCTTTCTACGCAATCTTGGTTTCCATTAATAGGATTTTGCATTTAAAGACGGTTTTGAACCTTGCTTTAATTACAGAATTTCAAACGAGAAGGATAGTTCTTGTCTGGGAATTTTGGGTGTAAGTTTTCCTTTGGGGTAGTGTTGCTTTTTTGTTGATTTCCTTGAGGTTTTGGCCATCTCTTATGTCTTAGTTATCCTTGCTTGGTATTTCGTTGTTGGTTCCTTTTGGTATATGTATCTTGTTTCTCATCGTGTTTGTGAGATCTACCTTAGCTGAATGATTTCTTTTCCATTGACGAACTTTTGGCAATTTGTTCTTGAACAATTGGTTAGCTCTGTCTGGATTCTCTTGTTTTATAGAATTTTTTTCAATTCTTGTGTTTCTTCTCTTCTTTTTCCCTCTTTTATATCTGTAACAGTAGCCTGTTTTTTACAAGAACATAAGCTGAGATTTTTCTTTTTTTGATTTCCCCCCCTATATGCAGTACGTGATCTTTTAATTTTTACTTTTACCAATTGTGCTTCTCTCTTACAGTGTTTATGGGCTTCTCTGACTTGTTGAATTTGCTATTCTCGGTGGGTGTTTGGTGTTCTGCATATATTGTTGCTGCAGTTATTGCATCATTGCGGATCATCTGCTGTCTTTGTCTGCTTTAAACTTGTGAGACAACTTGTAAGCTACCATGGGATATGCACAACTAGTTATTGGTCCTGCCGGCAGTGGCAAGGTGATGGATAAGTGCTCTATTCAGCTGTTCTTACCTTTTCTTATTTGTATTCCACTGTGTGATAACTAAAAATTAGCATCTAACATTTCAATGGACATGGCGTAGCTTTTGAATATACGTTTCAAGCATTATGGATAGTCATCGCATCAAACTACTAAAGTTTGCTGTATTTGGAGTATTTTTTTGTTAATATGCTCTTAAATGAATCCAGAATCATAATTCGTTCTTGTCTGATTATTAATCAGTAGTTGTTTCTTTATGAAAATGTGGCTATGTATTCCAGAAAATAGCAGCTATTTCCTTTCCATTGTTTGATTCCATCTATGAACCATTTTGGTCTAAAATGCCGATTGATTTTAATTAACTTCATCGAAGTTTTTACTTGAATCAGTCAACTTACTGCTCTAGCTTGCACCAACACTGCGAGACAGTTGGCCGAACTATGCATGTTGTGAATCTTGACCCTGCTGCCGAACGTTTTGACTATCCTGTAGCCATGGGTAGGCGTACATTACTTTGCCGATCTTATGAGTTCAAATGACTAACACACTAAACTTGAGTGATTTGTATTGCATGCTTACAGATATTAGGGAGCTCGTTTCATTGGATGATGTTATGGAGGAGCTTGGACTTGGTCCTAATGGTGGCCTTCTATACTGCATGGAGTATCCTTAAGTGATTATGCCCTTTTCCTCCTTGAAGTTGTGGGATTCAGTCACTGTAAATTCAAAAAACATGTTTTTGTGTATTGTGTATTTATCCATCAGTCATCATCCATCCATCCACCCACCCAAGAAAAAAAAAAAAAAAAAAAAAAAAAAANAAAAAAACTTCGGTTCATTTAATGAATGAACAGTTCCTTTTATTTCTGAAGTTGTGGGCAAAGATTTATAGAGTGTGTATGTCCATGTGTGTGTTCTTTAAGACCTTGTGAATTACCTTAATCTTTTATTAGACATCTTGAAGAAAATCTGGATGATTGGTTGACAGAAGAATTGGATAACTACATGGATGATGACTATTTAGTATTTGACTGCCCAGGTTTGCATCGTTCTCTTGTGTGCTTGTGTTTGTGTATTGTTTAATCAGACAGATGGACATCATACTGTTGCAATTTGTATGAGGATAGATATACTTAAATACTATGATTAATACTCTTACTACTTTAAGTTTCAACTTTTATATTTTGGTCTCATCTAGTTTCTTCCTTTTACTTTTCTGTCAAAGTTCTGTTTTTTCAAGTCTTTGTTAAGATGTATCAGTTTTTTTTTTTTTTTTTTTTTTTTTTTTTGCTCAGGAGGTTATTTTGGGTTTCATACTTTTGCTTTACTGTTTAGTATGATGTAATTATAGCTATAAATGAGAATGACTTCCTAGGTTCTTTAGAAAATCATTGAACAAAAAAGGGCCATCTAAGTAAAGAGGTAAGAGAAATCGGGCAGTGTACCAGCGAGTACGTTGGGCAACAAGGGGGTGGATTGTGATTGTGAGATGGAGAGGAGAACAAAACGTTCCTTATAAAGGTGTGGAAACCTCTCTCGAGTAGACACGTTTTAAAATCGTGAGGCAGACAGTTAGGAAAGGATAGCAAAGGTGGTATGAAAAGTGGAAGTAATAAATCTCACGCTAGTAAAGATAGTATGGAAAGGACATCAGCCTAAGAGGTGAAGTTCTTCCTCAAAAAGTCATTGAAAATCTCCAAAAAAAAAAAAAAAAAAAGAAAGAAAAAAAATCACAAGGCATCACACTTTCACCAAATTGGTGTCCATTATGCAAGAAAGAAAATGAATCACAAGGTCACTTGTTTATGCAATGCACATACACTCAGAATTTCTGGACAACGATTCTCAATATATTCGGATGACATCTCACATTTCCTAGGGAGGTAAATGAATTTTTGGATATGGCCTTAACGTTCCACCCTTTCAAGAATGCAAAAGCCCTATTATAGAAAAACTTCATCATGGCTTTCTTTTAGAATATGTGGAAAGAAAGAAATCAGAGAATATTTACCGAAAAGACACAGACCTACACAAAACTTTTCGACAATGTTGTTTACCAAACTGTATCTTTGTGTAAACTGTCCAATATTTGTACTTGCTATAGGTATACCGCCCTCATTGCAAATTGGGAAGGTCTTTTGTAAACACCATGGATTATACATCCCTTTTGTAAATTTCAATCATCAATAAAATTGTCTCTTATCAAAAAAAAAAAAAAAAAAAAAAAAAAAAAAAAAAAAAAAAAAAAAAAATTNAAAAAAAAAAAAAAAAAAAAAAAAAAAAAAAAAAAAAAAAAAAAAAAAAAAAAAAAAAAAAACAGACAATATCTGCTTACGGTGGGCTTGAACTATTACAAATACTAACCGTAAAAGAGTTTTCTTTGGGAGCATTTCCTTGTCACTGAAGTAGAAGTGTGCTTGTATGTGTAGCATATATTGACTACATTGGGATTAAAAATTGAAAATACAAAAACCTAACTTGATCTTATACTACACCTAATAAATCTGAGTATCAGTCATCTTATTCTAGAACAGATCTTACCTCCTCAAGATACTACGACGTTAAACATAGTTGATTTTCATGCTACAATTGGGTGTTGAATATTTATCACTTTTGGCTACCATGTAGGTCAGATAGAGCTCTTTTCCCATGTTCCTGTTCTTAAGAACTTTGTGGAGCATTTAAGGCGAAAAAATTTCAATGTCTGTGCTGTGTATTTGCTTGATTCTCAGGTCTGTAAATTCTAAGTTCATAACTTTCTATCACCCCAGTAATGCCTTGCTCTGTTCTTTACTCGTATAGTGACAATTGGTCTATGTATCAGTTCATGACAGACATCACAAAGTTTATTAGTGGTTGTATGGCATCTCTTTCAGCAATGGTTCAACTTGAATTGCCACATATTAACATCCTCTCCAAAATGGATCTTGTGACCAACAAAAAGGATATTGAAGAGTATGTATCGTCTTCACCATCTGCTCCTGAGCTAACTATTCCAGTCAAATTTTCCTTCATTGTTCTAAATTCTTGACTTAAACTCTAGCTTCTTAAATCCGGAGCCTCTAGTTTTGTTGTCAGAGTTGAATCAACGTATGGCTCCACAATTTTCAAAGCTAAATAAAGCTCTTATTGAACTGGTGAGCAGCTTACAGTTTTTTCATACATTACTCAAGTTTCCGGTGCATGGTTGAGAATTTTTGTTTGCAGTCTAAACATAACAATCATTATTCTCTTAGAATGGAAGGTGATATTTTATCATAATGTTTGGAAAGATCATTGAAAATACTTTTAGTTTTTATGCACGTTAATTTATATATTCCCAGTTATGTTCTTTTGCAATTTGCAATGAATGAGAATGTTGGTTTTGTATTTATTTACATCCATTTGTTATTTTAGGTGGACGAATATAACATGGTGAGTTTTGTGCCACTTGATTTGAGGAAAGAAAGCAGGTACTCTTTTTTTCTGTGCACTCACCTCCCCATGTACTTCTGTTTCTTGGATTTTTTTTGTTTGGTTTGGTTTGACAAGATTATTTTGTGTAATACGATCATTTTGGATATTTTCTAGTTGGAATTAAGAATTTTTCTGCTACTATTGGTTTTTTGTTTACAAAGTTTGTGTATTTTCACAGTTGAGTTTGTGCATTTATGACTTGTTGTGGGTGTTTCAATAGTTGAAGTTTGTGCAATTTATTGGTTAATTCTTGAACGATCTTGTTATTCAAATTTGGGGTTTGATAGAATGAAATTGAAAGTTTAAGGTTCTCGTATCGACACGAGCATGGGGTTTAGAAATTTTCTTTTTTTCTTTCTAAATTACCAGTTCCATAGTCCTCGGGATAAATGATCGGAAATATAACGACACGACAAGTAGCTCTTATTCTTTTTCTCCTGGCTTTATACTTCGGCTTTGAGATGTTGCAGTTCATTTGAATTGGATTTACTGTTGCATTGACTTGTCTTTGAAGGCCAAGCCTGATATGATATCGTTTGTTTGAACAGTATAAGATACGTGTTGGCTCAAATAGATATCTGCATTCAATACGGTGAAGATGCAGATGTGAAGATTAAGGATAATGATCCAGAGGATGATGATTAAATTCCATTTCCTTTTCCATTGAACTCTTAAGATAGGATGTTCTTTTTGGGGTCTCTTTGATACTTTGTATGAACTTCACCAAGATCAAATCAGACAACGAATCAAATCAGAGTTCGAATCTTTTTGAGTTTCAACTATATATATACAGGATCTATGGATACGTCAAAATCTTTGTGTTGATGATAAGGCTGTTTCTAAGTTAATAAGAAAGGTAGAGATGATGGTTCATATGAATAAAGAGTGCTATTACAAATTTAAGTGGGAGAGTCCACAATATATCTACATTATATGTACAATACTCACAACAGAACCACTAAAACCACGGCAGTGGAACTGTCCAGGCTATGTTCTGGCCAAGCTCAAAGCAAAACAGAATCTAGAACCCTACATGTCTAGATTCCACCAAAAAGAATCAAAACAAAGAAAGACATGGAGAAGCCAGCTTAGATTCTACATTTACAAACCATTCCTCACTTGGAATTTTAGGGAGAGAAAACAAAACCCAGATGCACACAGCTGCCAAAGATATAATTCATAACTAAAGAATTTTATTTCTCTTTTACACAATAGTGAAGAAACTGATGAAGATCATACCCTTCAATAGTTGATGAAATTGAGAAAGTTATCTTCCTATGATTTTGCTTTCCCTGTGCTTCCATCTCTTTGATTCCGAAAATGGCTGAGTAGCTGTTGTGCCTGCAATATGAGGAAAAGTGTTATTCTCCTCCTTTTCCACTCTTCCCTTGCATCGTTCTTGTACGAACGACGTAAAGTACAACGGAATCAAGTTTCTTGTATAGTTCTAGATCAACCGAACTGTCATTGAGATAAAATGTAAAAGAATACAAAGGATACTTGACAAGCCAGCCAAACAAAAAAACTGGGCAGACAAAAGTCAAGCCCTCAGAGTGAGAAGGGGTGTTTGCGTCTAAAGATTTTTCGTAGTTATTCGTTCGGACTTTTTCTTCGGAAAAACAAATGTTATTGGTTAGCTTAATCCTAATATGATTCATGACGCGAAAAACAAAAGGCCGTGGATTCATAGCATGAAATTACAAAAAAAGGGGAATCCCAAGGAGAATTACAGACATCTCCCATTGAAAAGGAGGGTAAAATAGATACCTTTTCTTTTGCTCTAGGTGTGCCAGACTGAGATAGGGCGACGAGAGGTGGAACGGCTCCTTCTTGGAGAACCAGGGTACAAAACTTGGGACTATGAAGGCATAGTTGCAACAGAATAGATGCAGCATTTTCCTTTCCTCTCGTAGATCCACATTCAACAATTTCTACCAACAAGGGTATACCCCCTTCCCGAGCAATTGCCAATCGTCCCTCCGAAATTGTCGACAAATTAGCAAGAAGTGCAGCAGCCTTATCAACCATACCCGTAGTAGTGGCTAGTAGCCCAACAAGGTACTTAACTGCTCCTGCTTGAACTATACGAGCCTTATTTTCATGAAAAATTGATAAGTTGAACAAAGCAGTGGCTGCATCTTTCTTACCCCTCAGTGTACCCTCACCTAAGAGATTGACCAAGGCTTTAACTGCACCAGACTGACCGATTTTGGCCTTGTATTCTTCCAATACAGAGAGACTGAATAAAGTTGCTGCAGAATTTTCTTTAGCAGTAGATGTTCCTGTCTTCAAGACATGAATAAGTGGTTCTATAGCTCCTCCTTGTGCAATCATGACTTTATTATTTTCATTAATTGACAGGTTTAAGAGAGCTGTCACTGCATGCTCTTGTATCTGCTTTCCATCGGAATATAACAGTGAAAGTAAGGGGCCTATAGCCCCACATTGGCCTATTATAACACGGTTCTCTACGTTATCCTTGGCAAGAAGCCTTAATTCTTCTGCAGCTTTCATTTTAACTTCATCCTTTTGGCTCTGAAGGTCTGCAACTAATTTCTTGATATGCAAATCCCCCGACGAGTTATCGGATTCAGGTTCGACTGGAACTAAGTTACCTGTTGTACTATTACAGTTTCCATTCTCCACCATGCCTGTCTCTGTTTTACAAGCCTGTAATTGTCCACCTTCTAATGATGAATTCAACCACGATGCTTCATTATGAGATGCAGTAGGATGTTCTGATGTGATTTCGTGTTTAGTTGATATCTTCAACACCTCATTAAGGGCCGAGGGAACATAATCAATGCTAGAGAAGGCACTGGAGGCTGATACACTCCTGCTGTAGATATATGACTGCTGAGGGGAAGGGTGGTCAAACTTTTCGGTTTCGTTTCTCTGGCCTTCATTAGATTTTCCCCCAATTAAACTAGTAAAAACGTCCCCATTTCGCTTGTTAGAACCCTTTTCAACTTCAGGAGATGATCGAGAGCTATCACTTCGATTTGAATCCTGCCGAGACAATTGAACCAACGATGATAAACTAGAAATATTCAGTTTGTTTTCATCGCACCAACTCAAAATCATGGCTTTAACTGTGTAATTGGGAATGAGATTTGTATGCGTGAGCGTCTGATGAGTGTTGGGGCAGATGTTCAGCCCACTATCTATCCACTTTTGAATAGAGGACCTGTCATAAGTTTGGCCAGACGCCACAATTACTGGATCAAGCATCAGTTCCAACGACAATGGACAGCGGAAGTATGAAGGAACTGATACTCCATTTATCCCATGAAAATAGTCCTTTCTAATCATCCAATCTCGTATACGGATAATTAGATCCATAATTTCGTTGATCCGATATAGTTCCTCTTTCGCATTGTTTTGTTCAGCATCAATTCTCTCCTTTTCGACTGCTATAGTCTCCTTCAGAAGTTCTTGATTCGACATCAAATGAAGAACTTCGATAATTTTTAGAAGATCTTCGGAGTTCGGACCAATGCCACTCCTTTGACTAATTAAAGCCTCTTCTATAGATTCAGATATCCTTTCCTGCTTCAATGATTGAAGACCTTCAAGACATTTCTGGACAGTTCATTAGATGTCAATGTTATTTGTGTCAAATAACCAGACAAGATGTATCAGAATCAAGAGAACTCCTTAGATTTCATAAATGTTTCCAAATTTATACATACCTGAACAGCATTTAGACTTGAGCTACATGATACTGATTCCGACAACTTCCATACAATCTCACAAATCTCTTGTAAAGAGCTTTGAATCTTTATAAGCAGCGGATCACATTTCAAAGCCTAAGACGATGCAAAACAGGAGAAATTACTAAAGTTTGGATGATAGAAGAATTGAATTTGGAATATAAGCGAGCTGATTCTTGAGGTAACTTACGCTGCAAATTTTGCTCATCTTAGGACACCAGTTTTCAATGAACTCCCGAGCGTCATTAACAGCGATATCCAGAGACTCACATTCTCTATAAAGTAACTCATCGGAGGATAGTTTGAGACTAATGACATCATCAAGCACGAGTTTCAGATGTTTCAAGACAACAGCAAGATTCTTGCAGTTCTTAGGAAGAGGCAAAGACTTTGTAGTATGGCATGAAACAAGATGAATGAATCTGGAAATACTGTTAATTAGACATTGTACAGAGGCTGTTCCCATTTGTCCTGATTTCAAGGATATATGACAACATTAGCAACAGGCAAACACAATATATGGGCTAAAACTAGTATGAATATAAGGTCCTCACGAAGACAAGATATTGATTTACATTAACGTTAAAGAAGATAATTGTAACCGTTCAAGTCCCTGCTAACAAATATTGTCCTCTTTGGGCTTTCCTTTTTGGGCTTCCCCTCAAGGTTTTTTAAAATGCGTGTGCTAGGGAGAGGATTCCACACCCTTATAAAGAATGCTTTGTTCTCCACCGCAACCGATATGGGATCTCACAATCCACATTTTAAAAACCTTAAGGGGAAACCCGAAGAGGACAATGTCTGCCCACAGCAACCGATATGGGATCTCACAATCCACATTTTAAAAACCTTAAGGGGAAACCTGAAGAGGACAATGTCTGCTAGCGGTGGGCTTGGGGCAATATTCATCTACATCAAAACAGAGATTTCAGAACTCAAGTCCACCCATGAGGTGAATACAATCGATCACAAAATAATACAAGTGTTAAACAGAAACGTTTTATAGGGAAGAAGAAGAAGAAGATAACATTAAGAACAGATTTAAGAATCGTCCAGAACCATCAAGTAATCTACTCTACCAACCAGGCAAACATAGAACTTGTCCAAAGAACTTAAGGTTTCTTGTGTTCAAAGATAGAGATTCCATCACACTTGCAAGAACACGTCCAGTATTTTTCCACCATCTAGGAAGGATAAAGGATCTGGGAAATTCAACTAATGTCATCCCTTCAAAGGATCATTCTAAAAGAAGATCCTGCTAGCATCCTTAAACTTAGAGAATAGACATTCTAAAGAAAGCATTTCAGCAGTAGAAACAAGGACTCCTAGAAGTAGTAAAATTTAACTATCACCTTGAGACTCGCCTTCACGCAAGGCTCTAACTTTTGGCCTCGAGACTTGCATCGTTTTGCACCATAAGAGGCTTACACCTCTACGAAAATGCACTAAGTCTCTATGCCTAGTAAATGATTAGAACAATAGTATTAATTTGCCTCATTCTTCAATGTTTTAAACAGCTATTGAGGCTAAACCTTGAGACTCGCCTTCACGCAAGGCTCTAATTCTTGGCCTCGAGACTTGCATCGTTTTGCACCATAAGAGGCTTACACCTCTATGAAAATGCACTAAGGCTTCAAGTCTCTATGCCTAGAAAATGATTAGAACAATAGTATTAATTTGCCTCATTCTTCAATGTTTTAAACAGCTATTGAGGCTAAACCTTGAGACTCGCCTTCACGCAAGGCTCTAACTCTTGGCCTCGAGACTTGCATTGTTTTGCACCATAAGAGGCTTACACCTCTACAAAAATGCACTAAGGCTTCAAGTCTCTATGCCTAGAAAATGATTAAAACAATAGTATTAATTTGCCTCATTCTTCAATGTTTTAAACAATTATTGAGGCTAAACCTTGAGACTCGCCTTCACGCAAGGCTCTAACTCTTGGCCTCGACACTTGCATTGTTTCGTACCATAAGAGGCTTACGCCACTGAGGCTTCAAGTCTCTATGCCTAGCAAATGATTAGAAGAACAGTATTAATTTGCCTCATTCTTCAAAACTATACACATTAGAGTTCTAACACAAGATAAAATAATAAGAAGGAAGACCAAACAAGGCCAAGCCTGTTAAAGATATCACCACATTCATTTCTCACATAAAT